GAGCGAAGCGAGGAATGTCCTCAATGTAAAACAACGCACCGGATGATCTTGACGTCCTTGTCGAGCGTAGCTCGTCCTTCAATCGCGTTTGGTGTAATCATGATGTACTGACGTGATACGGAGCGTCTAGCAGCGGTGATCTGAGAAAAAAAGGGTTCTTGTTAGCATAGTAGATACAATTACGCGAACAGGAATGAGACTTACAAGCATGTTTGTGCTGATGGTACGGTTGACATTGTCCATGAACACGTCAAACTCGTCCAGACATCGCAGGGGTGAGCCCATTGCCTCCCAAATCGCTAGTAGCATGCAGATGGATGAGAACGATTTTTCGCCACCTGACAACGTCTTTGTGCTACGGCCAGCAGTGCCCTTGCGGGTTTCATCCGGTTCCACGAAGAGTTGCAGCCGGCGCTGCGGATGGTCAATGGCAAGCTTGCCCCTGAAACCTCGCTCGCTCAACAAGTATTGGAAGCAAATGCGAGCACGTGCCGAGATATGTCGCTGGAACAGTCGCCACCTGTTCAGTCGATCCTCTAGATTGAGCTTGCCTGCCGCCTGCTCCTCCTGCTGGCCCTTGTAGAGTTGCTGTGAAGCTTCGTATGCAGCCTCAGCCCTAGCCGCACGTTCTTTGATCTCCTCATCCGACGCTCCCAATCTTTGAGCCCTCTTCTCCAGCTGTTGGTGGATAACAGCGTACTTGCTCTCGATACTCCTATGAGTTTCGCCTTCCTCGATGTACACTCGCTGTGGCGCCTTGTCCATGGCTTGTTGAGTGAAGTTGGCGACCACTTCAGCTTGTTCGTCACGCCTCGTTTCTGCTCGCTCTTTTTCGAGGACCGCATCATCACGGTCCTGGAACGCGCGATTCTTCTCGAGGACTGCCATTTTGCGCAGATCTTCCGCTTTCTGGACTGCGAGTTGCAACTTCGTAATTCGAGCCTGAAAGTCTTTCATTCTCCCCTTCTCATCGGCAAGCGTCCTCTTGCACTCTTCACATTTCTTATTGAGTTCATCTTGTCGTAGTCGCATTTCGCCGTATTGGGTTCCGTGATGCTCTCGTTCGGCTTTAATCTTCTCCAACTCCTCCCGGAGTGAGATAAGGCGACCATCTGCTCCTTCGTACTGGTCCAGTTCAGCAGAGATATCTTCAATCCTGGCCTGAATCCGCAACAACTTCCGCTCCAGCGATTGCCCTTGTTGTTGCTGGTTATTGAGAGCGGCGTTGCATTTTGCGACTGTCTGGTCGAGCTCCCGCCGCTTCAGCTCTATCGCGCGTAAGTCCCCACGTAGATGAGCCAACGATTCCTTTGCCAGACTGATTTGTGTTTGGTCGTCAGACTTCATCCTAGGCGCCCGGGGGAAGGGGTTGATGGTTCCTGTGTTATATCCTGCACCGCTTGACCGGGCCATGCGAAGGCCGAAGCCTCTTTTGCCCGCGCCATCATGGAGGGAAATACAAGCTTGGACGTTTGGGGGAGGTGTATCGCTCATCATAACATCTTCTGCCTTCGTCCTCTCTCTTATCAGAACGATTTTGTCAATGGTGTGTGCCACAATGAGCTGACTGCGGACCCAGTCGTTGTCGAAATTGAGCACCCGGAGAACAGTGTCAAAGGCTGCATCCGGCTCCCTGAGGTGGGTATTCGGCGGTAGCCGCTTGCTGATGATGATTGGGGGAAAGCGCTGCAAGTTGACTTGTTGCATGAGTTTTGTCAGTCGTTGTTGGTCAGACTTGTTGGATACAAGGAAGCCATCCAGCGTTGCGCCAAAGACCGTCTCCAAAATTGGGGACCACTCAGGTTGAGTGAGCTGAACATGGGCTCCAATGGGCCCAACGGGCTTTTCGTGAAACCCGTTCTCTCGCTCGATCGCTTGAAGAAGAAGAGGTATCTTCTTATCGTAAGCAGCCCAGACAGAGCCTCTGTTCTGCTCCAGGCTGCGCAAACGCCCCTCCGCTGAGGTAATTTCCGCCCTCTTCCTGTCAACATCGGCCTTCCCCCCTTGTAAGGCGCCCTGGGCGCGATTTAGCTCTGCTCTGAGTTGCGGGACTGTGTCATTCTCGTCGGCGATTTGTTGTTTGATCGTAGACTCTTCTGCTCTTGCTTCATTCAGAAGACTCTCCTGTTCCTGGCGGGCACTCCCAGCTCCAGCGCCCAGTCGCTGCTCCTCGGCTTCAATCTTGGTCTCAAACTCAGCCACCCCTTGTCCGGCGCTTTTGAGCCGTTGTTGAACATCTCTGAGTTGATGGTGTATGTCGGTGACGGATTGCTTCGCCTCTTGGTACGCTTCGTCGGCGAGGGCGATGCTTTCCTGAATAGTACCAGCTTCCTGTGATTCCGTTTCGACTGCACCTTGAGCACGCTCAAGGTGCTCGTCGCGCTGGCTTAAAGCCTGTGTTGTGTGCTCAATGAGCATAGTAGCGCGTTGGATTTCCCCGTCCAGAGCAGCGACTTCATCGTTGTACTTAACGAGCACATCTTCTTGCTCAGCTACCTGTGACCAGTAAAGCTGATTACGGAGACGGCGATATGTCTTCCTCATTTCTTCATTCTTCTGAGCAATGTCCTTGAGCTTCTGCGCCTCCGAATGCTCTCTCTTCGCACGACGGACATGTTCCTCTAGGCTCGGTAGCTTTGCCTCGTGACTCTCGAGAATTTCGGTCAGGAGTTTGTAGTCGTTGTCAAGCTGTTCGAGTTGGACACCTCGAACGAAGAACTTGTACTTCATAGAGGGTGATGACGAATTCAGAAATTGTCGGGCATTGTCCTGCGATAGGACGTTGAGCGGATTGTCGACCTGCAAAGCCCAATACTCAGAGATCTCGTCAACGTCCGCCTTCTTTGTAGAGATGGTTTTCCCAGTCACACTCTTCAGCTTGAAGCCACTGGCGCCGGCCCTGGAGAAATGACGTTCGACTCTAATGGTTTCGCCGTACAGATCGGGTTGATAGGCGTCTATGCCCTGGTTCTTAATCCTCACAATGATAACAGAGTTGTCTCTCCCTTCCTTGATGAAGCTCTTGAGACTTCCGCCTCTGTTGGTAGAGCTAGCCTTGCCGCCAAGACACAAGGTTAGGGCCGTGAGGACTGCACTCTTGCCACTTCCATTCTCGCCGACGATGAAGTTGATCAGGGGACCGAGCTCAACAAAGAGTCGCTCGTGGCACATGAAGTTGATGCACTCGACACTCTCGATAATGCCGTTCTCGGCAGCGTGGTTGTCGCCGATGCGCTGCGGCCGGCTTTTGATTTTCTGCGTAGCACGTTGATCGTCTTGATCCTCGTACTGCAAGTGCCTGAAGCCATCGTCTCGGGCGATTTCGTATTGGGTTCGGGGAGGCGAATCACGGCCGACTCTTCTGTCTTCCTCTTCTTCGTCCGCACCATCTTCGCTTCCGGAGTTTGGGGATGCGTCCCTCGGGGGGGTCGGCTTAGTCGGTTGAGTAGTATTTGATAGTCGAACCCGCTTTGACTGCAGAATTCCATAGTGTCAGTTAATCCCATAGGCAATATCCTAAATTCATATTCTTGGAGAAACGTACGGGCGCATCCTGAGCGAGGTTGGACCTTTTTTGCCGCACCTCAACCAGCTCCTCCTCCTCTCCAGTGCCTGCTTCCGAGATGGCGTGGGATCTCTTACCGGGGGCCATGACGAGTAGTTCAGCAGATGCGCCTGCAATTGCGCCTGCGTGGAGATTCTGCGGCGTCGCGCAAACGTGATTGAATGCGCCTATTGCACTGGGCGTCGATGAAGGTGAACGCAGATGCTGGGTACCTTGCGTTGGATAACTTGGGATGCCTTCTGGATTGAAGGAGCACGAAAGCTTCGTGCGACGCGTCGGATGGCAGAACGCGACTGTGTGGTTGTCCGCGGTGGGGGCTGAGGTAAGGTAAGTTAACCTGGGAGGTATGTCTTCCTGCACCTTCCATTAATCGAGCACTTAACGCGTACAATGCTCTGGGCAGACATGTATCAAAGTCACTGTGCTGCTACCTAGGTACCTTCCCTGCCCTACCTTTAGGTAGGCAGGTAGGTAACCGGGGCTTTTGTGGGGCGATCTTCTGAGAGACAACCTTACGAATTTAAGCTTCATGCCGTAGGTATGCCAACAACAACAGTTTCAAAGTCTGAGATGCAATTATCGAAAGAGCTCTATCAAAAGGTATATAAGATAGATCGAGGTGAAAAAATCAGGCAAGACAAGTCTACATACTCCGGATCAGGTGTATACTGCAATACGTGTTCATGAATTTCAATGCGCAAATCCTCAAAACTCCTCGAGGATTTTTCGAAACCGCTTGGCTTCCATTGGAAGAAGTCGTCCAACCTCCACTCAAAATATCAGCCCTACCTGCGACCGTGTAAATCACGAGCTAAACCTCACGGCTCCGCTACAACAGAACAACAGCAACAACAGCTGTGTCCGTCGTATGCGCGCATTTGCAACTTCATCTGGAGAGCCAAGGCATCTCGAAGCTATTTGTCATGGCTGATTCACAACGAGGAGCTGGAGATGGAGGGGATCGCAACGAAAAGAATTCTCTCAGCCTACAAGAAAATTGCGTCGAGTATAGCATCTTTCTTGTTGACCCCAACGCCTCGAGTAATCCCCTGAAGCAACTTTCCAGACTCGAAGATCTACGAAAGTCTGCTTTGCAACTCGCAAACTCCCTGACCGCAGACTATATTTGGCAAAAGGGGCTGTTTACTCTCGATGTGGTCACAGAGCAAGGTTCGTCCAACCCCAAAATCATTCCTTTTTTTTCTCTTTTTTTTTTTTTCTCAACTTGCGTGCTAAGACTCTGACAGGCAACTCGTTTCTCCGAGGAACTACTGATTACGGAGATGCGATCGAGGACGAATGGCTGATTGTCTTTATTCTCAGGGAGCTTTCCAAAGCTCAACCCACTGCATGGATCCGTGTCTTTGACTCTGATGGAGAGTTTCTCCTCATAGAGGCGGCCAACGTTCTTCCAAAATGGTTGAGTCCTGAGACAGATCAGAACCGTGTTTGGATCAGCAATGGCCGTCTGCGAATCATCCCCCACACAACCGAAGACGGCACTAAAACCCGGCTGTTGGCATTATCGGACGCTTTGCGCGTCATTAAGTCCTCTGCCGACTCTCTCTTGCACTCAGAGTTCATAGAGGCTGAGGCTTTCTATCGCCTCGAAAAGTACCCTGGCCAGATTCACAAGTCCATACACCACTCGCTCGTGACAATTCCTCGAAGACTTGTCCATGTCCTACGCCAAACTCCCAAGGCCGTTGCACCAGCTGTGGAGTCTTTCTACCTCCGCGATGCGCTAGATCTGAACACTCTCCTGTCTAGCAAGAAAAGTCTTACTTTCCCCCCGGTCGATCTTGTCACAGTGAGCGTCAAATTTACCAGGGTGTTATTCGCTCAACTCAGATCGCAAAGGTTCGAGCCTCCTGCCCCTTGGGCTAGTCTTATTCAACGGGCCAAAGGGGTCGAGCACACACATCTGGAGATGGGCATGAAGCTCACGTGTGGATTCGAAATAATGCTCAACAATGTTGAGAAGGCCGAGAGTCGTGAAGCCAGGGCGGCTAGTATCATTGTCCAGGACCTTGAGGAGGATGGAGACTTAGTGCTCCCTACGGACGAACAAATCCGCAGCTGGAAGGACGCTAGTCGCGATGACGACGAGTCCTGGATGGACATTAACTACGAAGACTTTGAGAGAGAGCTGTCAGGGCGTTCAGGCGGTACTCAACCTCAGTCGAAATCGAGCTTTGGAGATGCCACAACACAAGCGGACCTGCGCAAAATCGTCTCCCGGTTCGAGGCCTTTCTCAACGATGAGAATGCAGGACTAGACGGTGCCGAGATCAATGAAATGGACATTAATGATGACGACGACGAGTCCGAGGGCGGGGAGACAGACGAAGATGACGAAGATGAAGACAAGGCGGTCAGCTTTGACGAAGCGGAGTTCTCTCGTATGATGAGAGAAATGATGGGACTAGCACCCGCAGAGTCCGACGTTCGTAATGCCCCAAGCAAATCGCCTGCGGCAAGAGAGAACACTAAGCCCGTCGGGCAAGGCGAGGAACCTGACGACGATGACCTTCGGAAGCTTACCGCTGAGTTGGAAGCTGAGCTCAATGAACATGGTGCTCTCAAGTTGGACCAACCTCAAGGCAGAGCCCTAACTCAAGAAGACAAAGGGAAAGGCAGTGGGCCTGAGTCAAGCAATGATGATGAAGAGGCAGACGATGAAGTTGACATTGACTACAATCTAGCCAAGAACCTCCTCGAAAGCTTCAAGGGCCAGGGTGGTATGCCGGGTCCGGCTGGGAACATTCTAGGCATGATGGGACTTCAGCTTCCGCGAGACGAGGACGACAATGACGAGGAAGATAAGAAGAAGCGATGAAGACAAACGTTCGAGATCTTGTAGGTCATTAATCAGTCTTCATTGAAACGACGAATGCATCTTCCTCCATGAAGTCACCGTACGCCGGGCTCTAGACGTGTCGTTCCCCAAATATGTTCTTAGAGTGTTCGTTCATCATAAGCATCGCCTTTCGATACACGATCACCGTCTACTACTCTGACGATTCCCCGCTCTTCGACCGTTTCTTGGCCGGGCTTGATTCGCCGCTTGGTCTTCTCCCCCTCCGTGTGCCGGCGTCATCAAGAGCATCAAGCTGCGCCAGTATAGTGTTCAATCTCTTTCGTGCCTCCAACTCACGTCCGCTAATATCCTTTTGCGGGCGGAAGTATGTCCTCGCAATGTACGTGATTGTATGGTAGCAGTCGTACAGCAGAAGGCGGACGTGGGCCCTCTCCTTGTCCTCAATCAGATCCGAGGAAAACATCGACATGATGGTGTGCCGAGTGTTTGAGGATCCGTTGAATCCCGCAAGAAAATCACCACTAGGCTCACGACCGATGTTGAGAGCAAATAGTGGATCTCCGAAGACGAAGTTGCTCCAATCCTTCATGCCAGCCATGACGATGCCATCGTCGTGTTGGAGAGTAAGTGACGTGCTGTCATCTCCAGAATCCGAGCCGGTATCATATTCATCGCCAACCTCGTGTCTTGCGTCACTCCCGCGGCGGTCTGTGTGTTGTAGTCTTCCCCGCGGTCTGTCCTCGACAAGACATGTGTCGTCTCCGGAGCCTCGTTTTCGGAATACAAGGGTGTTAACATCTTTCCCGACGTCAACAGCTACCAGCCGGGGTATTTTGATTCCATCCAGCACATGCTCGAAGCGCTTGAACTGCCGTCGGATGGCACTGTAACCCAACATTACTTGCATATCCTCCCCGTCGCGAAGCACGCCTTCTAACATTGAGTGGAAGGCCATAGTCCAGGAGTGGACGCCTCTTGATTCCATCAATCTCGCGGCGACATCTCGCCTCGCGGGTGTCGTGGGATCTGCAGCTGGTGATGGCGCACATGTAGGTAGGACAGCAAAAGCAGGCCCGAATCGACCAGTGGGTGATACTTGCTCGCAAAGCTGGCGGTATAATTGCCCAATTTGGAAATCTATTGTTCTTCGTTCGGCCAATGAGAGTGGTGGACTGAGTTCGGAGATGGGGGTGCCCAGTGTTGGCTTGACGAGGTTATAGTCGAGACCCAGCTCGTTCGAGGCGGCCGTATGTGATATGAGGGTTGGAACCATAGCCCGCAATTCTTGTATCGCGACATCAGAATTACTCGTGGTCCTGCTTTCGTACGTGGTTACGGGAGAGATTGGCCTGGGTAAGCCTTCTGTTTCCGTAACTTTCTCATGGAGAAGAGGAGTCTCGACAGTTTTGCCGGCAAGCCATCTTAATACGGCAGCCTCCGAGATGACGGAGGCTCGCTCAGATCGCAGCAGCTTAACCATGGGCGGCGGAGGAACGACGAGAACCAAGCTCGCTCCGGTGGAGACTTTGACTCCATAGACGCGTTGGCAATGGACCGATGGCATCACCTGAACTTGCTGGACGGTGGCCTGGGGTACCAAACGGCTTATAACGGTCTGTATGGGCTTTGCCGGAGGAGGCGGCGCACACATGGACGTCGTTGACACTGTGTTGTGATACAGGTTCTGCCCTATGGAAGGTCGATGCGTGACGGGCGGGATGCTGCAGGTTTGCGAAACGCTTTGACAGGCGAATGGTATGCAAGGTGAAGTCGAGGTGTGAGTTCGGTGACACCGACCAGGAGCCATGTGGTAGGGGTTGGGCGAAGTAGCTAGATATAGCGAGTCCTCTACGGCTTCCCAGACGAGGGTGTCGGGATTTGCAAGGTCGTGTTGCGGCGTAATATGGACACACGGAGTGGTCCGGCCGGGGACTTTGGACGTTTTCATGCCAACAAGGGCAACACCAAGAGACCACTCCAATAGAAACGGGGTGTCTAGCGAGGCGGATTCAAAGGGTGAGCCGGCAAGTGAGGTTTACTGGGACTATTCGCCTATCTCATCCGGGCCGGATGGTGAGGAGGAGGAGTAGGAGGAGGATGATGACGGTAGCGCACTAGGTATGCGCATGAAAGCACGGAAAGATGTGTCGACCACAAGCGAAAGGATGTTCGGCGATGAGCAGGGCATAGATTGAGGGCGTTTGAGAACCCAAGGGTGTGAAGGTCTGAGTGGAAAGGCCAATGCCAACGATGGAGTGAGTGAAGCTGGTCCACACACGAATCCTTGTTCCGCGAGAAAAGACGGCATCCGTCCGAATAGAGGTCGGGGCGGCACCTGTTTGAGCCAGCATAAGTGTCTTCATACACCTCAAAAGAGAAGATAAGACAGGTGAGAGGAACAGGGTAAGCTAAGCTATGCAGTTGCATTGCAGCAGTCGAGGCGAGCAGCGAGACATGATGGGCGGGCGGCGCAAAAACCAGGCTCAAGGACACGAGCTTGATGAGGTAGCCAAGCAATGAGAATGACCTTGAGCTGTTCCAGGACAAGCGAGATCAGTCGAGAACAAGCCAACGCACGAGATGAACTAATGAGAAGGCGCAACAGGCGAGAGAGCAAGAGGTTGATAGACTAAGGCCCGATGGCTCGGTGATGACGGGCGAGGCGTCGTGCAAGGAGCAACACTGGCTGAGTGGGTGGGAAGAGGGAAAGGCGCTCAATGGGCGTGTGAGGAATAAGCGAGAGAGACGACACTAAAAAGCGACAACGTATAAGCTGTCTGCTAATAACCTACCTTTCGCCAAGTTACTTTGCCCATGAGGTCCGCAGGGAGGGAACAAGCGCGCAAGAATACTAGAGAGCACCTATGGACCTCTATGAGCATGGGTATTTGTCTCTCTCTGTGTGTGTAGGATTAATACACAAGTGTGCACATACACGTACAGCAGATAGACGGAAAGAAGGAGGGAGCGGGAGGACCAAAGAAGCGACTGAAGAATTGTAAATGGACCCTACGGACATAGACCGAGAAGAGAGATGAGGTACCGTAGTGTAGATGGAAAAAAATGTCGGAAAGGGAGAAGACAGGCAGGGGCAGAGAGGGGCTCTGCAACGCAGCAGGCCAGCAACAGACGAAGGAATGTGCCACTTGGGGTCAAGTCAAGCGAAGTTGCAGATGAACGTCTTTTACTCCTCATGGGAGAGAAGATAAGCGTCGAGTCTGGACTTGGACTAATCGTGCAGTTGACGATCTCCACATACGCATAGCTTACCTACCTCACCTCACCTTATGCAGGCACTGGCGAGTGAGGCAGATATTCCTGCAGTAAGTTCAAGTAGGAGCAAAGTGTGCGAGCCAGGGGCATCCAGGCTTGTCATTTTCTCGCGGTGTAGAAAAAAAAGATTGGATGGTCTGCGATCTGGGGAGGTGAGGTTGGTGAAGAAGTGGAATGAATGGAGGAAATCTATTCGCAGGGTTCTCATGATGGGATGGAATCTAGGAGGGTGACAGGGAGCCCCCAGCGAGGGTCTGCATCGTCAAGCGAGCCGGGGATTTGTTGATTGGATGCGATTAAGCGAAACTGGCGGGTCTTGGATCCCCGCCCGCAGCGTCGGGGCGGCAACCACCCACTCACCCACTCTTTTCTCATCTCATCTCACTGTTCCATTTCCACAGCTTGCAAGGTGCCTTAGCTCACCAACAGTGGACGGATACAGATCCATGCCAACGGATAAACACCTCAAGATCCAAGGGCAGCCCTGAGCCAAGGTAAGACGTGATGGGAGCTTTGATATCCCGGGTTGTCGTCAATGGCCAAGTCTCTACGAAGTGTCTGGCGTACGGATCCGGTGGCCATATTCAAGTTGGGAATCTTCAGTCGGCTGTCGTCTTCTCCTGCGATGAGGTATGTTGAACGCATGCCTCGAGCCACTGAGACATCTGCCACGTTGACTTTTTCACCAAAACGCTGCGCATGTTGGATAGGAAAGTCTTCAAATATGACGCCTGCCTCGACGCTCACGCAAGTTGTTGGAAATGCAAGTCCAAGATCCAGCCCACCAGCGCAGGAACTTTTGCTAGCGTCAAGCCGATTTGGCGAAGCATGCTGCTGCAAGTCATACTTGAACTACTATTTTCTTACTCTCTGGTTTCTGTCACCATTACGCTTCACACCTCAACGTCAAGGTAGAATATTCTAATGGGACCACCGAATCACATATCTCCTGGCCATTTAGGTGGTCGCATTGTGCGAATGGCATACACCTCGCAAAAAGGGAAGTACAGAAGGTACTTACCAAGGTGAAATAGGAATCTGAAGCTCTGTAGGTACCTTTCCGGTAAGGTACCTTAGTTGCCAGCCGAGCGAGGTACGTATCTCACCTAGTAGTACGGTAGAAGACGGGCGATCTAGAAATTCTGCATCAAACATTTCAAATTCCCCCTCGTCCAACCAGACGGAATCCACTTGCAAAAGGGCTATGCTGCAAAGGCCTGATATTTGCATGCGCCGGGTCCGTAATCATAGCCAGTGTTGGGTTTCCGGATCGACCGCTGACCCCATGCTCCAACACACTGCCCCCCCCCCCGGACGGCTGATATGATATGGTGGAGGCGGCCAAGGGACGGATCTGGATCCCAAATAGAAGTTTGGAACGTTCCATATGCTGGAGACTCGTCAAATTTATACAGATAAGGCTTAGCGCCGTCATGCTCGCAGATGCGCACTCTCCACACAGCTTACAACTCGCTCCACCCTGGGCGCTCGGCTTTCAGCTGCTACTTTTCCACCAACACAACACATACGTGACCGCATTTGCCCTCATGTTTGCATTGATTTCCCCATATCCCATATCACGTTGCAGAAATATCTGACCATCATGCGGTCGGTACTCGGTAGAGATTGGGTCGTTCATTGCTCCTCCTTCGATTAACATCCCACAAGCAAGAAACAGCACCGGGTTTCCATCAAGTTGCAATCATGAAGCCCTGAAATTGCGAAGACTCATAGCAACTCAGTCCGCATCACACCTGTGCTAGAAGACACTCCACTGTGTACTTGAATGGTAAGACCCGGACTCGACGATTGTCGCAGGCTATTTGGAGTTTACGCGTCACGTACGTAAGGCCAGTAGCCTTCCCCAAGGCTACCCAATCAAGAATAATCGAAACACCGGATCTCAGGCCGCTGGATTTAGACCTCTGGCTTTGAACATCCTCGAGTGACAAGTGGGCACACGTAAGGGGGTACACAGTACAGCACTGAGGGTCTCTACGAATCTACCCTTCGTTGCATCGGAGGGGACGTATCGGCTTCTTTGCTATACAATGTCTTCACAAGGAAGCAAAGCGAGCCAAATGCCCACCAATTTCGAATAACATTGTCATGTAGGGGATACGGTGCTTGTCAAGATGCAAGTGAGTGAACCATGCCCTTTCTCAACTCCCATCATCTGGTATTTGGAAGACCGATTGGTTATTTCGCTTGGGGTTCCACGAATGTTATACGGTAATTGCTCCCATAGCTTAGATGAAGGATGGTCCCAAATGCATCCTCCACGACCTCGTACACAACTCATGCTGCCTTGTCTTCACCTTCCTTAGGTGCCGGGCGATTTGCCTTCGCTCCAGGAGACGCCTTGTACAGTTCGTTGACGTTGAGCTTCTTCAAATCATCCCAGTCACTGCGCTCAATAACACTCATGCCGCAGAAACTCTGCAAACCAGTTAGTTTGATGCTCAGCAGCTCTACCCTGCTGGTATCCCACATACCTGAAAAACATCGACAAGTATGACTTTGTCGGCATTAGTGAGGTCAACCTTGTGCCGCGGGCTGACGACGCTGGCGATTTGCTTAATGAGCGTGTCGCGATCAAGCGAGTTGTTGCTGCGTATCGAGGGTCGAATGGCATACTGCCAGATATGTCAGCCTAAATCACCCAGCCAGGATTTGCCGAGAATGGACATACTGTACAGGTCGGCTTCTCAGCCTGAGCATCGCTCCCTCCTTCAATCTTCTCTACATCGCCTCCTGTAGCCTGAGCTGTCTCACCAACGAGATCGAAATGCGCAGCTAGGGCGTTTCTAGCGACTCGTACCACGCCGTTCTCAGATGCCTTGTCAACAGAGGTGACCGGCGTCAGTCGATTGATATACTTGGTCTTCCGCTCCTTGAGATCAGTGCAGACGCTGGCGTCTACGCACATCTTACGGCAGAGCTCTACGGGGTCGATGGGATCCCTTGTCTTCATGAAGAAGACACACTCGATACCAGCCTTGATAGCCTTGAAAGTACGCTTAGTTTTGCCCTTGTTGACGTCACTGATGCCATCGAGCTCCTTCTTGATGGAAGCCTCAATGTCCTCGTCTTCCTCATCTGATTCGACTTCTTCCCCGGGAGGAACGATGCCGTAGAGCGTCTTTGCGTACTGAGGGGCAGTCGTGTGAGTGAGCGCAAGTGCGAAATGCTGGCAGAATCAACAAACCTCGTCACATAGTGCGCTGAATTCGCTAATGGACTTTCCATCCATGCCTCTAGCAAATGTGACCCAGATACCCTTGTCGCCAACCCCAAGGGCGACGCCCTTGTCCTGAAGACTGGCGACCTTCGCTTTGTGTTGCGGCGTCTGCCATTTGCCGGAGCCTTGCCCACCCTACTTTCTCATTAGCGATGAATTTACACTGAAGAATGGAGACTCTTCTTATAAGCTCGTCCAGTCAGGGTCGGTGAAAATGAAATACGCAATGCAATATACTGAAATCAGGTGAAAACATACCTTGCTTCTCTTGGCGGGATGGCCACCACCGCCGCCCGACTGTTTCCTTTTTGCGTCTGTCATTTTGCACGAGCCTCGCGATCTGCAGCTCTGAAAATATGTGAAATGCTGCGCCGAAGCCCGTATGAGCTGTGAGTGTGGAAATTGTGGCTTGTGTGATGGCTGAGAGAGAAGCTTGGTGTGGTGTGCTGAAGATAGCTAGAAGAGGTAAAAAGTCCACACCGCCCGAAAACAAGAAATCAGACGAGCTGGACCCGCTATACCTTCTACGTCTTATTGCGACCTGAGATACAATTCTCAACAATCAGCCACCGAAAACAGCTATCGATTCGATGGAGCTTAATCGAAGCTTCTCAATTGACATGACAGGACTTATTTCTAGACGGGCCGAATGTGGACGCTCTATCGTTGAAGCGACTGGCGCTGATGGTGCTAATATGCGTTCTGAAAATTCAAACTCGACAGACAAAATACATTTCGATCACGGTTCCTGGACCTTGGTGCCACGATTATTTCACTTGAATCTGATGCTAAAGAAATCAATCTGATGTTATCAATTCCATAACTAGGGTGTGTCGGATCTCAGGTTGGATGACTTATTGGGAAGACAAGGTCCACCTATGTGGAACGATGCCACTTGGAAATTTATTTAGTTGCTTCAACTTCGCTTGTCTCCCTGGGAGCACTAGAGACACAGCGGAGGGGGAGAGGCGCCACGCCTGTCATTCAATTGCTGGCTATAGCTCAAGTTGCCTTGACGAGACAGGCCCAAATATCACAGAAGACACAGAAATGCCACAATTCACTGCAACCTCAGAACGCAGACTGAAGACGCAAGTATGCCATGCTTCTCATATCCATCAAGGCGCGGCCGTCTTCATTTCACCATCCAATTCAAACACCCTCCTTTCACCCTTTCTTTTGGCTATTGCCAATACTTGGATCATGACACAGCAGATGCAGGTTGATATATTCAAAGACGACGGCCTTGTGCCAAAACGAGTGAACGTGTCTGTTGTGAGGAAATCACTATTCGGTAAATGGTCGTCTCAACCCAATGGGACAGTAGCCAGTGCGGGACAATACTCGAATATTCATCTAGTTCATGTATAATCTAGCCGTAGTAGTCTCACTACGTTTTACCAACCAATAATCTAAAGCTAAGAATAACCACAGAATCAACCCATTACGTCTAGCCATGCGCCGGGAAACCATTTCCTGCGCCGAGTGAAAAAAAACCATCTTTTGTGAAATAATTGCTGCCTTATCTTTACTCGACCTTTGCGTTATTTCTAGCGCTGGCCTCGGCAGTCATGATCAACGCTCTTGGCGCATCCTCCTTGGGGAGGTAGAGCTCGACAAATTGCAGCGTCGTGGGGTTGTTGAACTCCTGGTCAGTCAAGAGCTTCTCGAGTTCGTCCTTGGTCTTGACCACGAATTTCTTGGCTGTCTGCTCGGTGCCGCCGAACACTGTCGCAAGTTCCTTGTACTGCCACTGGACAATGTCGTTGTACTCGGCCTCCATGCCGTGGATGAAGCGCTCGATGGTGTATCCATCGTTGCAGATAACGAAACTACGATATAATGTTAGCGTGAGATTCTTCGAGTCGGTGCAAAGGAATAAGGAAGCTGAACTCACATTGTTGTCTTCAAGCCATGGCGCAACATGGTAGTGACCTCCTGGGCCGTAAGCTGGAAGGATCCGTCGCCGACGAAGAGAATCGTCCTGCGGTCCTCTCCCGCATCCTTGGCTGCGAGAGCCGCACCTTGGGCAGCACCGACAGACCAGCCGATACTTCCCCAGAAGACCTGACTCAAAGCTGTGACCCCAGCAGGGAATTTGGTGTCCCAGATACCAAAGTTGGCTGTTCCTGTCTCGGTGACGACGATGTCGTTCTCGCGGAGGTAGTTGCCAACGCGAGGCCACAAGTAAGCCTGGGTAATGGTTTGCGAGGGGTCTGAGTTGGGGCTGGGCACTCTGTTGATGACCTCGGGTGATGTGACGACGGAAAGCTGGCTCAAGTCGAGGCGCTCAGTGACCTTGCGGAGGACTCCGCGCATGGTGATGCCAGGGTACTCAGAGTATCTGACTCTCATGTGTGTGCTGTGGAAGTCGATGGTGTTCAGCTGCGATGTCCTGTAAGAGAATCCAGCGGTGTTGAAATCACTCTGCAAGAATGTTAGTGGACTGTCTTTGGATGACCAGGAGCGACATGTCAATTTACCTTGAGACCACCAATGGACAAGATCAAGTCTGAAGACTCGAGTCGCTCACCAACATCGGGTTGCGAAGCGGTACCGGCATAAACACCGCCGTAGTTGGGGTGGGATTCGTTGACGGCACCCTTTCCCATGGGCGTTACGAAGACGGGAATCTTTGTCTTCTCAAGGAGTGCATGAACCTCGGGGAGAACGCGGTGGCGGATAGCGCAGGCGTCAATCAGCATGACGGGCTTCTGAGCGGCATGAAGGGACTTGAGGACGACGTCGACGACGTAGTCCTCTCTGTCGGGGTCGTTGGTGGCCTCCTCGAGGTCGATTGGCTTGTTTAGGCGCTGGCCCTCGATCTTCTTCTGGACCATGTCGGTGGGGAGCATGATGTAGACGGGACGACTGCGGATCCAGCACTCTCGGAGAGCATGGTCGATCTGGTTGGCAATCTCGGCGGGGTTGTTGAGGCGGGCAACATCGCATGAAATTTGAGAACTCATGTTGGAGAAGACGTTGAAGTCGCCGTTGCCAAGGGTGTGGTGCAGGAGCATGCCGTTCTTCTGGGAGATCGTGGACGGGCAACCGACAATGTGCACGACGGGGATGTGTTCTGAGTAGGCACCAGCAAGAGCGTTGATGGCGGAAAGCTCACCAACACCAAAGGTAGTGATGATGGCAGAGATGCCTTTGACACGGGCGTAACCATCGGCAGCGTAGCCTTGAAGGATATCAGCTCGTCAAAGCTTACTTGGCAACTTGATACTTTGTAGAGGTACTTACCGGCGTTGAGCTCGTTGACGTTGCCGACCCATTTCAAGCCGCACTGGGGAAGATAGTCGAGGGCAACGAGGTTGAAGTCACCGGGAAGGCCGTGAACGGAGCGGACACCAACCTCATGAAGCCTCTTGAAAAGGTATTCGACGACGTCGACAGGCTCTATAAGCCCTTGGGTTCTGATATCAGCCATGATCGGATATGTGTGTGAGCAGCTGATGGTGTATGAGGGGTAGCTCTGGATGCTACCTCGAATGTATGCTGTAGAGTGTTCGTCTGTGTAGATATGGAATGAAGAAGGAGAAAAAGATGACTAGTCAAGGCCAGAGGCGTATAGACTTATATCAAAGTCAACGACCTGCAGAGATGGCGATGTTGTTGATGTTCCCAGTCGGACTCAGACTCACTCGAGTGTCGGCATCATTGCATGGGTCGGCCAGGATCGTCAAGTCAGACCACTTGCCATTGCAGATTGACACGACAGGGCCATCGGCGATGGGCGACAGCTCAAGTAGCTCCATTTCGTATAAGTGACAAGATACCGCGAGCCAGCGAGGCGGCTGAAGCGCAGACAAAGTGGGTACCGGGTCTCGGCATGCGATGGGCTCGATCAAGATTTGGGTAACAGGGGACCAAGATTGGGTCCTGGCACCAGACGGAAAAAAAGACGCGAGATAGTAGCGTTGTTACCCATCGTGGTGCGGCTCAGAATAGAGTAGAGGGCGAGCAGACAATGGGTGCACTGCACCGAGTAAGGAGATACAGTCAACAGTGAGTGATGTAATGGAACACGCCACAAGAGGTTGCGGTCACCAATACACCGGGCTCAAGCCGGACTAGGCCGGTGGATTCCGGAGGTGAGGTGAGGTGAGGTGAGGTCCCAAATATCTGAGGGAAAAAAAAAGAATTTATTTTGGTACCTTGTCACTGTTCGACGTAAGGCAACTACGACTGATAGTGAGACAATGGAATGGGACGATAATAAAGTTACCCGCGTTCAGGGCAGAACAGGGAAGAACATGAACGTATCCGTCCTGAGCATCCATATCCGTACGTGGTTTGTGGATTTCGGGTCCCCTGGGCGAGAGAGTGCAGGAGGGAAAAGTGACAGTTCTGGGCAGCATAAGGCCTAGAACACGTCAGGACCAATCAACCCTTGTCCCTGCCTGCCCGTGCAGTGTGAGGCAATGGAAGCCCGCTGCCCCGCTGGCAACTTGGCAAGGTACGCAACCGTTGACTGCGTGGGATCTGCAATCCACCTCGTCGGGATCCTGCGGCGTGCCCTCCTGTTTCCCACCCTCCCACTCACCTAATCCGTGCGAATTCACATTTTAGCCAAACTTGGAACCTTCGCATCATGCTTTGAGCCAACATAAGACCATAACATGAGCTTAGAACCTCATGGATCAGCGGCAATACACTATTACGACTCAGACAATTCCATGGGGAGGGTTATTGCCTCGCTTCCGGGTTTCCCTGACCGCCCCTCCCTGATGTTGTCGTGCGCAAACTGGGGGTGAAGGCGGAGAGACGCGCCATTCGACATGATCTGATGTTGGCCCCAGCCTATCGGCCCTGCTACGGCGCAACGGCCTAAATAAACCGCAATGGCAGTACCATCGAGCATCGTGCGCCTGTCAGCTGCGGAGCCGGGCCCGGGACCCGCTACGCTCGACTTCGGGCCGCCGCTCGAAGACCGAAATATATCGCGTCCCGTTCGGACGAATCGCTTGGACCTCAGCCCCGAACCTGAGGGCGGCCGAAGAGAACGACTGACCTCTTCTCTGCGTTTCTGGACAAGTTGTCCCGACGAAATACATGTCCAACCATTAATTTGACAGTCCAGCTCTGCCACTGGCCCATTTCCCTTCCTGGAAGGAATCCTGCAAATATCAGATCATGTTCTAAGGACCAGTAATGGCCAATGGGAAAAACATGACGAAGATCTGCATGCATAAGGGTCTACAAAGATAGGAACCCGTCATTCTTCACCTCAACCACCTATAAGCACCGACGCCCAATTCTTGGCAAGGACTAAACGCTCACATGCAACACAAGCCGGGCAAAACTTTACAGATACGTAGTCTCCTTGTTTCGCTTTTGTTCTATGTGGAGGGTATAGTATTCTACATGTGGCTCAGCATGCTGTCTTGCTCTGCTGCCGCTGGGAGAGTAGCATCATCTATCAAAGTCCAACACCCGCGGCTATCTTCGCGATACTGCCGCGTGTGCCTGTCGCCTTTGTTCGCCTGGTTTTGTACACTTTTTATACATCTCGGATCGCGTCGCTTTCAATCGCAACGGCCGTCTTTCCAACCCGTCCGCCATCGCTCTTCCCATTTGCTGCAGTCAAACTCCTTTTTGCCTAGCTTCCGATTGACCTCGTTGTGCGCCTCGCACAGCCAGTTCCCAAACTCGCTCCGCCCCTCCACTCGAATCTGTTCCTTTTGTATGTACGATTGGAAGTCCTCGGCACACACCCAGCAAGGGTAAAGCTTGGAAAATAGTCTCATGAAACCTCGGAGGTCGTCTTTTTGGCTAGGAGAGGGCTTTTCGGGGTACGTCGCGGCGATCGAGTGTAGCAGTTGCCAAGTGCCTCGTCCGAGTGCCTCGACATCCGGGGGGCAGTCGTCGGTAGGTGCCGAGGCCACCGGAGTTGCTTTCTTGACCGAGCCATTCATCTGAGAAGCCCAGCTCGAAAAAGCGCTCTTGGATGAGCAAGACCGACATCTGAAGATGACCTATGTCAGCTGTATCTCCGGCGAGGAAGCACCGACGGATCGGACCAAAGCCGACAGATCACAGCCAAGAGACTTATGAGAACTTACGGTTTGCCATCTGGGCCCAAGACCATTCCCTTTGGTAAAGGCTTGGGCTGCTCAGCTGCCGCCGTCGCCGCGGGGCCTGTGGCGTTGCTTAATTGAGGGTCTTGCTCGGCGTCGGCCATGGCGATAATGCTGCGCGAGGGTTTCGCCCTTGTCGCGAGGTGCGAGCCTAATGTCGACGGGCCCTGTAGAAAGAATATGGATGCGACAAGGGACTTTGAATGGGGTGATCTGCCCAAGTGCGCGCGATGTCGGACAATCTTCGAATTTTGGTTGGGAGGAATTTGTAAGCTGAAGAGCTTCGTCGGTAGGTACCTCGGGGTAAGAATGTCGATTCCAGACCGTTATCGATAAGCTACCATGACCACTAAGGTAAACCTGTGGAAGGTAAGGCAAGCTACTAGGATCGCCAGGCACTATCTTCGATCTGACATTCCGAAGTGATGACGCCGGGTCCACGGGTGGCCGGCTCTTGTCGGCAAGCGTCGGGAGACTTTCGACGTACTCAGAACTAACAATTGGGATTCGGTTTAGTTTACCGTCCTTGATTTGTGTGGTGTGAGGCGGGAGTCTCACGGTTTACGGATGCTGCAATCGGCGCCTTACCGGGGGGTCCGCTGCTTAATCGATCCCACGGTATCCGCAATGTACCAAAGGGATGAGGTGGGGTGGTTTTCGTCTCTGAGCCGCATGGCAGTCGTCCAAGGTCAACCCATTTGGTCACCCTGGCAGCTTTCTTTTCGGACCGTCGAGATGCATCCATGACCCGGGAGTTCTTGCAGAAGTATCCGTAATAAGGCACGAGTAGTTCCATCTGGCCCTAGCAATCGGGTGCTCTCTCTACTCATTGCGACTTGGGAGCAGGCCATGTGTCTGGTATTCTCCGAAACCCCCCCATTTTTATCTCCTGAGCGAGGAATCCGATGAACTTCGCTGCGTTTCCCATATCTGATACGAGAAACTCGTCCAGGGCTCCAGGTGCTGTGGTGCTTCGTTAGATTATGAGTCTTGAAACTTTGAACTCGACATTCGCCTTGCAATTGACAAGGCAAGTCGCTCGAGGAGATTCGTGTAAGTGAATTGGCACTGACTTACCTAAGACAGTACGTAACTACACCTTATCCCAGCTCCGCCTGCCAAAATTCACCAAATTGCCCGCGGCGGGGTACCCTCGTTCAATGCGATAACCATCATGACGGCGAAATCAAATGCCAAATTGCGCAGGTGAGCCGGAAGTCGTCGCCATTGATCTGATATTTCAACGTCCCATCGCTTGATTTGCTCGCCTTTCCTCATAACGATGCAGCGGACTCTAGAGACATTCGCCATGGCTCAGAACCCCTCATTAGCTTCGGCAGTCAAGGTGCCCATCCTGCTGCTCAAGACAAAGTCAACTCCAGGCGACTCGTATGAAGACCTACTCTCACGTGAAAGTGATGGGTGTGCCTTTGAACCAGCTTTTGTCCCTGTTCTGCACCACACCTTTCAGGAACAGGGTTTGGCGACGGTCAGGCATGTCTTGCAGCAACGTGGGATCAATCCTGGTACCGATGCCTCCTACGGCGGTCTCATTTTCACCTCGCAGCGAGCGGTGGAGGCGTTTGCCAGCCTGGTAGATGAGAGGAAGGGTCCGTCGCCATCGCACCCGCACCATGGGCTTAAATAACAGCCCCTCGACCGCAAGAATGCAGAGCTGACCAGATCGACAGGCACTGAAGAAGACTGGCCTCATCCCCAAAATATACCAGTCTACAGCGTTGGCCCGGCCACCACACGAGCTCTCCAGTCTGTCTCACCGCACGCCCCGTTGCAGATATTCGGCGAGCACACGGGCAATGGCGATGCCCTGGCCAAGTATATTATGGACCATTACGGCCAATGGTACCAAGACCGGCCGACGAAGCCACCGCTGCTCTTCCTCGTTGGCGAACAGAGGCGGGACATCATCCCCAAAACCCTCATGGATACCACTTTGCCCAGCGGAAAAAGGATACAGGTAGATGAGGTCGTGGTCTACGGTACGGGTGTCATGGAGTCTTTCCCTCAAGACTTTGAGAAACACCTGAAGGATACCGAGGACCGGCCGACGCGATGGGTGGTTGTCTTCTCCCCGACTGGCTGTGAAGGCATGCTGCGCGGGCTGGGGATGCTGGACGAGTCCACGGGGAAGGTCAAGAAGGATGGACTTGAGGGACGCCAAACGTTCATTGCAACGATAGGCCCGACGACGAGGGACTATCTCAGACGAACGTTCGACTTGGACCCAGATGTTTGTGCTGAAGAGCCAAGCCCAGCAGGCGTCCAGCGAGGAATCCTTAATTTCATGGGAAAGCAGACATAACATCTTTCTGAAAATATGCAACAAGATAAAAACGTCACATGAACCGCCTAAAAGCGTCCAAGTGATAACTAGACGATGAGGAGATCATGGGGAGCACTGGGGGTTTGTGCCCTGCTTGTGACCATATGTGACCATTTCGTGACCTCAGTCCTTCTTTCCTTATGATTGCAGTACATGCATGCATCATCAGCAGAGACACGTAGTTGTCAAGTCTTTCACCTTCAAACCAGCATGAACCGCACGTAATCACTTCGCTACCTTGCTTAGAGACCCGACCGATGTCGAAAGTTTGGATGCAGGTTGTGTGCATTACTACTCTGTAGACCGTCTGACGTTACACGGGCACGCGTGATCAAGGAGAACTCGCCATTATGGGGCTGAAATACGTTTTGATTGGCTGCTTGTCCATTAAAATCGAGACGCGACCTACGCGTGTCTTACGCGCAACTCTTCCAAGCTTTCAACGCGTCGCATCCCAAGACGCGTTGAATGCCACACGGACCTCGAGACCCAACTGGGGCCCTTTTGGATCCATTCCTAGCCAAACGATGAAGTGACAAAAAGAATTGGTCAAAAAGACACAGAAAAAACAAGCTTCTACATGTGAAGCATTTGCTGAGCCGGGAACAAACAATTGCCTCGCACTCAATCCGATTTGGCGCTCTCAACGCCTCTGGTTCCTTCCGTGGCCCCACGCGTGAAATGAATATCAATGGCTCAAAAGAAATATTTTCGTAGTACCGTCTCCTTGTCGAAATAATGGCGGTGTTGCTCACAATGAAGCTATTCTCGTCCCTCGTGAAAGTAATTGCGGAAAGAGACGGGGTAACATCTCCGCTTTTTGCATAGGTTGTGCCGGCCATCATGGCCAGCGTTTGGTATCATTCAAATGTATAGTGTTGGTGATAATGACGACGAGAGAGCCACGAGACGCGTCTGCAGGGCATCTCTGATCAAGCCAGGGGCTCATCAAATGTCAATCGTCTCCTAGCCAGACTGACGGGAGTCCTCGCCGAGGAGAGTGCGACGGGTGTCTTCCATGCTTTTTGAGCAGGACTCGGCGTGATGTTGACAAAATCTGCAAAGTCGAAGCCTTGTCCGGGCGTGTTGGGGAACATGTTGCCGCCACCTGGGGTGGTCATGTGTGAAGAAGGTAAAGTCATGTCTCGGCTGACCTTGGAAGGAGGCGTCGAAGGAGGCTCCATCCTTGTCTTGGTAGATGGGACGGCGGGTGACGGAGAGGCAGCCAGGTACAGCAGAAGGTCGGCGCCTTCTTGACCGGATTTGACGGGTTCACCGTTGGCGCCTTGGTCTCTAGTACGGCGGTTGGGCAAGACTCGATTGCGCATTGGTGGTGTTGTAGGGGGCGAAGACCGAATATTTGTGGTCCTGAATGACTGCACGGGCAATAGATCGTCTTCGTCATCCGAGGCTGCCGCAAAGTTTGGCGATACCAGGTCGTCTGCTAGTCTTCGAGCCCCCTGAAAGAACGAGACATCGGGCCCAGTGGATGTGGTGAAGTGTTGCTGTCTTCTGGGCTTAATCGGAGACGACTGCGCTAGCTGATGACTCTCTTTCCATGAAGTATGACCGTGCAGCGACTTGATGGGAGTAGGGGAAGAGCGATAGCGTTTGCTTGGGCTAGACGATGGACAATCGAAAGATGCCATATAGGTGCGCTTGCGATGGCCGGTGCTCCCGTTGCTGGAGCCGATGGCGTCGGAAAAGAGGGGAGCTTTCAGAGGAGAGCTCATGAGGGCTCTTGTGGGATATGGAAGGTCGGAGGCGCTCGAAGAGGAGTCGGACAAGAGGTCTCCCTCGGCTAAACGCTTCCGTCGCAGTTCCTCCTCATACTTTGGTTCGATGGTATCAAGTGTCAGGTCTTCCCAGCCATGCTTGGTTTTGAATTGAGCGAGCGCGAGTCGGTTCTGTAGTCTTCGTGCTATCTGTAAGATTGTCAGGATCAGCGACGTATTGCTTTGTGAGGTGCGTTGCGGCCTTGGCTACGGCCCTTTGTCGACATACCTTGCTCACTTCCACCCTTTTCAAGACCTTGTCCGCCACCTCTTCAGGTTGTTGCTTCCACACAGAAGACATGACTTGGAGGTAGGGCATGCAGTATCCCGTGGATTATGTTGATGCTGTTGCTGGATATGCACAGGCTCTTCTCTAGCCAAGGCGATCCGAGTGCAGAGAGTAGGAAAGTGAAGCGTCGTAGCCGTCGGTTGCCGCCTGCTATAGTGAAAGCGGGGGAAAGGAGGATACTGGGTGACGGGAGTCCAGTCCAAAGGCCCGATCGTTGACCTTGGAGAGAGGGGGGGGGGATGAGACCTTGAGAAGCCCGTAGCAACCAACGGTCAAAGGAATGGTGGATGAGGGGTTGGATTGTTCTTCTGGAATGCGTGGGAGGACGGAGTGTATTCAACAGCAGAGAGAGAAAGGGGTGTATATGTGTGGTTTCAAGATGGAATCGGAGGTAAGGAGCAGGAAGTTATCCCAAATCAAAGTCATACACTGCGTTGCGAGATTTTGCGATGGAGGAGAATGACAACGAAAGAACCTGGCTGAACGGGGAGAAAGAGGAAAGTTCGGATTGAGTGGTGTTTCCACCGGGTCAGCTGGCAAACGTAGCGCAGTGAGTGGCCCAGTCTCAGCGGATGGAGGACCCAGACGGGAAGCAAAATTCGCCTACAGCCCACTGGACCCGACCAGACTCGTGGGCCACCTGCCGCTGGGCCCCTCTGAGTCTGCTCCTCAGCCCGGGCAGGTTTCCCGTCCCATTGACGAGGAAACGACCTGAAGCGCCAAACACCCCTCTCTACCTTAGGCTCTATCTTTACCTTACCTGCCATCACCCGACTTTTGCTCTGGAAGGTACTACCCGCTATCCTGTTTCGTGAGCTCGCCCGGACCTGCCCGTTCCTATTCTCACCTCAGGTAAGGTACCTCAAGGTAAGGTCAGGTCAGGCACCTTATGGGGGAGGTATTTCATCCCTATCTTACTCTGGATATTTGCATTCGATCTTGATCTTCAGGCAAGGGAAAGGCTGTTGATGGTGCACATTTGGCAAGAGCCGACCCCCGTCAAGCTGAGTGCCGATAACCTCCACTATCCGTTCCTAAGACCAGCCGGCCGGAGTGAGGTGTAGGCTCCTTCAGATGGGGAGGCCATGCTCTAGGTACTCACATACTGCATTTCTGAGACTTCCCAAGCAACTAAGGTAACCCTCGTCGAGGCCCGGGCAGAAGCGACGGCACGGATCAGAAACGCCTTACCAAAAACGGATCCCAGCTTCCCCAACAGCGGGTTTGCTCATCTTACTTGCACTTGTCACGGCAACTGAGGCGAGGGCGGGACCAAAGAATCTTTCGTCCTCGTTGCCGACCTCATGCTTCTCGTACCTTGAAGCTTGTCGAAAATGTCGCCAACCGGACTGATGCTCGCTTTTTCTGGCTCCTCGAAAAGCTCGTCTCAATGCCGGTGTGCTGCAACCTTTTCTGACGCATTGGTCATGTATGGAGTAGTGCGCCATCACCGTCAAACGCTTGACTGAATGAGACTGCAAGCATGCGCCATACTTCTTACAAGAACTTAGTCCGTCTCTTGTTGATCCGTCCCGGTCACGAACACTACAGAAGACTTGAGATTCGGTTTACTGTGTTGGTGAGTATCCGCAAGCCGTGGCCATTGGAATGGATGTCACTGGAAACGTCGATGCGTTCCAGATCTTGTGTAGGCATGACTCTGTTCAGCATTCCAGCCCATGAGATTCCTTTTAGATACCGTTGGCAGGGCACTCATCTACCAATCATACGTGCGGGCAGGACATGCAAAAGAGGTGTCCATGTGCCGAAGAGGGCATCCTCTACCTCATCTGTAAGGTGCCCGTGGTCAAAGTAGATGGTCATTTCCCGAGTGCTCTCGGAGTCCAGGGGCTAGAAGGAAAAATCAATTAAGACCCCTGTCGATGCTATTCGCTCTTTGGGCGCCTACCCACGCGCAAGCTAGCGAAGTGAGTTCACTCTGCAACCTATGCAGAGGCTCGTCAATCTCTCCCTGCCACCCAATTTACGACACCGACTTGAGACATGCGTGGTTGGTTGTTCGAGCCTCGAGGGACCGACGAGCGCCCCTCGCGGCGTGAAAATGGGCAAGCCTTGGAGGGTGAGTTGGATGTCACTGAGAAGCAACCGCCAGAGGCCAGTCTCAGCTCACCAGCGTTTCCTTCTCTCCGACCTAGAGTGATGTCTGGATCCACATCAGCCATCAGCCAACATAATGTTCAATCACTCGGCACCTTTGATACTCGTAGCCTACCTGTAGAAAGCATCCAGGAAAAAAGTCGTTCGTGATGGTATCCATGGTCAAGGGCATCATCGTCGTTGGTGAATGCTGCGGTTGGCGACCACAAACGCATATTACTTTTTCATGCTCGCAGGGTCAGTTAGCAGAATGCCCATGCGGCAGCACGCCGTCTGCCGATCTTGAGAATACGAATGCCTGACGGACCTGATTCCGTACGGTATTCCTTCCAGTTGGTGGAGATAATTGGAGATCGAGGATTGTGTACTCCTTGATCCAGGACGGATACGTAATTACTCTGTCATTCTACGAATAAGACGGATAATCGGACCTCTCTATGCGAATATATACCAAATGAGGACACTTCCTAATTGCATGTGATTATCATGCAGCATCGAGGGTAGAGTATGGATAAACGGATAGTCGTCGCAAGCAATTGAATACCTACCAGTTGTGAGAGGTACTGCATGAGGATTCCATGGATGGGAAAGTGCCCATCCGGATCCTATTGTCCCTTGGGCGATACGACTATGCAGACGTGCAGAATGGTGCAGGGAGGAAGCAGTCTAGCTGCAGCATGCGCCTGACAGGGGGACACTACCAAGATATCCCAGACAAACAGAAGAGACTCTCAACCGGTTTCTTAGTACTGGGGAAATAAATGACATGGCACAGCTCCCTCTCCCTCTCCCTCCGCCCCCCCCTCCCGCGCTGCCTACTTTGGCCAAAAATAAAACCAATGGGCCACACAGTGGGCTTGTGGGCTTTGTGAGCCGGAATCGACAGTCAATGGCAATCGGCACGGCTAGTGGGTAGGTATTGTCAGGTACCCGAAGCCACCACCAACCACAACCGTTGATCTTTGCCGTCGTTCCAACCGAATTGGGATGCAATAAAGGGAAAAGGAACTCTCGCGGATACAGATCGGAGCTATATGTACTTGCTAGGACTGCAGAAGCAATCAGTGTTCAGCTTACCGCTGCTAGGCGATAACGTCTGCAAACAAGGAAGGTCGATGGAACAGTTATAAAGGGCGACACGCAAGTTCTGGAGTGCCATATCCGTCGGCGGGCAACGGACATGCGGCCACCGAGATATAGATCCAAACGCTGTATCCTGTTATTAGGGAAAAGAGCTGCCAAGCACCCAAGGTACGGATCGAGGAAAGTCGTGTTATAAGTCCAACTTAGTCGAACAAGGGATCGACCACCGAGCCAAGATAAGATTTGGATACGTTAGCTTCCAGTGGCCGCCCATCCGTACCTTGCCGTGCTTGTGCTTGCGTGCTAGAGCCTAGAGGTGGGCAGCATGTCGCGAAGCCGATGGTGGTGAGTGGTGAGTGTTGAGTGGTGGTGACCGAACCTCATCTCGATCACACCTTTCCATTTCGACAGGTGGATCCATCGGTTCGGCGCCCACGCCTCAATCCCCGGTCCTTGCCGCCCGAGCCTGGCTGGCTGCCTTGTCATCATCCTTGGCTGATAGGTACTGTAAGGTGGAAAGGTACCTTAGGTACCGGGCCTGGCACAGCCACAGCCTTGAGCCTACAGATACCTAATCAGCCACCCTCAGGTTCGGGAACCTGGTGTAAAAAAACAGACACCTAATACCGTCGGTACCTTACCCTCCATGTAGGCTGTAGGTACTATTGGTTTCTTGCTAGCCGCACTTGTTTGCGTGGTGTTGACGAAGACCATGACGCTAGTCTCTAAATACAAATCTCATTGGAAGTCGCCCCCACTTCCGTTGGCTGGGTCTTTATCAATGTGGATGTGAGAAACTTGAATGCGATGCGACAGCTGTACCCATACTTCGTGCGGACATCGAGAACGACATGAAGGAAGACACATGGATTTGAGCGGGATCAGCAAGGAGAAATGGCAATGGCTATCTGCGGATAAGGTAGATATTTAGGTACCTTCATTAAATCAGCTAGGTGGCTACTAGCTGGACCTCAAGCGCGTAGGTACAGAGTACGCTGATCTGTCAATGAGAGGTTCAATGTTCGTTATCTCGCAGTTTCGAGGCCAGGTCGCTGAAGCCCATTTCCCTGCCCAGTCTCGTTTTTTCTCACTCCGTTTTCCTGGTCAACCAAACCCCCGGTCGCAATCTCAATTCGTACTCATGTTTCCCACTCTCGAAACACAGCAACGTCATCGACGAACTTGCTGCCGGTTATCTGCCGACCAGCATGTCTACCTGGCGTGTTAACAGGCCTCTTATGCAAATGTACGAATCCACACGCAAATCTTGACATGGGGTCTTGCCGTTGTGCTGCACCTCAATTTGCGCACCCGTTCGTACTATGCTAGTGTACCTGCCTACAGCGCATCCATTATCCATTTGCTGTCCCTCTTTGGACGCGTAAATCTGGATTTCGCTCCATGTCTAGCTGCATCTATCGGCTCTCAAATGGAGACAGCATCAAGACTACGGATACGCTTGTCAAGCCGGGCCGTGAGACGTGAAGTGTGGACGTAGATGTGGACACCAACTGGACCACACCTCACTCCTTCTGGAGCAAGCGTCCGGACCTTGGACATTGCATAGGTACGCAGTACGGATACCGGTATTGCACACTTGCACACTTCCAATTGTTGGACAACTTTTTTTGGTCACCTCCAGAGTTCCTTCCCAAGCTTCCCCCCCATCATCCCATCTCTCATCCCGTCCTCTCTCTCATCCCATCCTGGGTCTGTTCCCATACTTTCCCTGCAGACCACTTGCGCCCTTTTTTCTTCTGCCTTTCTTGTTTGCTCTCCTGTTGCGTTGCCAATTCTACCTTCTCGCACCTGCTGCTGCTTGTCAATTGTTCTTCATCGCAGCCGCACGCCTGCGGGATCCGTCCACGTCGCCTACTTTCCAACGTCGCCCATCCCGCACCAAACACACACTCGTTGCAGATACCACTCGCTGATCAGTGACCCATTTCGAGGAACCCTCCCCCCGTCCGGGTTCTGCTGCCGTTGGGATTTCACCTGTCCTCAATAACCTACTTATCTACCTCTGCTCGTTAAGACAAACCCAATTCAGTTCTCTGCTCCTCCCTCCGTTGCACCCGAGCCCGACTCTTTCAACTTGCATCATCTGCTCCTCCAGGACGCTGCACATGCCAAGACATCTACTGCTGAAGCTGTCACTTGTTTGCGGTTGAGCTATCGCATGCTCTGTGAGGCACAATGGCCCCGTCCATTCTCAACTTCAGAGGACTTCGGCGTCGTTCGAAAGCCAGCTTCAAGACCGACCGCTCAAACACCGACGTTTCTAGCGATGCCAGCAACATGACCACGCCCACTGCCACAAGCGGTGCCTCGACCCCACCATCCATGGCTCAAGCCTCCGATTCTGCTCTCGATCTCCAAGTAAAGGACTCCAGTGGGGGCAATCCTCAAGCTCGCCCGCCGCTGCAACCTGTGCCCAATTCCCACCGACACAGCGTCTCTGGCATGGCAGGCCTCGGTTCTCCTGTTGTGGGCGGGAAGTCGGCGTTGCCAGTATCCCAATATGCGCCCCGAGTTGCAAATATCACCGACAATGCCTGGGTAAGTCAATCATATGCATGGGTCGCGGCCCCGTGTGGTGTCACCTTTGCTTCTCCAATCATGATCTCGGCGGCTTCGCTCGGACGGCCAGCCACAGACATCTGCAACCTCGGCCACCAACTTCTAGCTCCAGCCTCCGAGCGCTCTGCTAATACTTGACAAGGTATACCAAAAGGTTCTACTCGTACACGGGACTATTGGCGACTCCTCGCAGCACTCTCTCGATGGCACAGTTTCGGTAACCCGACTCGACGACAACTTTCCACCAACATGTTGGCCCGCATGCAACTCCAATTTCAAGGCCCTCGTCTACCTTCAGCCAGGCCCAAACAAGATCCGCCTCGACTTCTCAAGTCCAAAGCTACCCAACAGCTCGTCATCTAATCCGATTCACGCATCTTACTTGACGATACACATGTTGCCGGCGAACAATGCACCTCCTCTGCAGCTCGCTATCGTGGTTGCCAAGGATTCTTCCGAGACCTTCGATGCAGTACCTACAAGGATCGAGCGAGAGGGCAATGATTTGGAAACGGCAGTCCGCAAATTCCGAATGGCCGCCTACCTTTGGCAAGCCTTTACAGCTGAGCAAATGTGGCGAAACAAACTTGGACGTCGTGTCTTCAGATTTGAGGAGGAATGGACCGCCGGCACATCGAACCAGCGGGATCGAGAGAACGGAACCTTACGCTCCGAGGCCAGGATCCATATCATCAGATCAGACAAGACAGTCGCCGAAATTCGAGATCTCGAGATGGCACAACAGAATGAGAAGGCGAGCAAGAAGGGGGACCTATACGAAATAGCTGCCGAGGCGGTGAAACAATACTTCAGGCCACTAGGTGGTCAGAAGCAGTACGTTTCCGTGTTGATGCTCGACACGCAATGGGATAAGGAGGCCAATGTTGTAAGGGGCCACGCGGCGCTGGGCGGGAATGCAGGCGATCTGCACTTGGCCATTTTCGGGTCCCATTGCCTGCAAAGCTATCCCACGAGTTTCGAAGAAGTCGTTCCTGCATTTACGGATTGCACTCCGACTGACCTTACCTATGTCGCCAACGACTGCAACCAGGCTGGCAGCTCTTGGGAGGCAGCGAACATCGGAATTGGTGCCCATCTGCACGAGACAGGTCACCTTTTTGGATGTCCTCACCAGGAATCTGGTGTGATGCTCCGCGACTACCTGACACTCAATCGCAGCTTCGTGACCCGCGAGGCATTTTGCACAAGGACCAAGTCCAAGGGGGGCTTGGTTCTTCAAGACGACGAGTGCGGCTGGCACCGCTTGGATTGCTTACGTTTCCGCGCCCATCCCTGCTTCAGGTTGCCAAACGATCCCCCCATGAACGCTGACGACAGCGTCCATGCTTTCCCAGTTGAGAGCGGAAACGTGGTTGTAATGGCGGCGACTGGAATTGCATTCATCGAGCTATTCGCGGAGGACGATGATCTCTGCCGAAAATGGATTGAGTATCCCCTCGAAAACAATTCGGTACAACGTCAACTGACTTTGAACGATCGCGAACTACGCGAGAAGCTGCCAGAGAACAAGCGGAAAGGGCGGCTTAGGGTGTCGGTCAAATCGCATGGCGGTGGTTCCTTGGATATCGATGATTTCAAAAAGCTGTGCTCCAAAGAGTCTTCATTCAAATTAACACCTGGTCCGCTCGGCAAGACAGCCTACAGAGGCAAGCCTTTGGGCAACTCAGCCATGGATGGGACTGAACCACAGGAAATCATTTTCGAGAGCGGCGGAAAACAGAACCGAGTGCTCTCCCGCATTATCTTCTACCATGGATACGCTGTAGACGGCATGGAATTCGTATACGACGATGACACAACACAATTATTTGGGAAACGGGGAGGCAAAGCGGGTGGCGACGCGTTCGATTTTGGTACGTCCTTTCTGTCAGGGCCAAGCAAAGCCCATGAACTAACAGATGCGCGTTAGACATTCGCCGGGGTGAATACATCTCAGGCTTTTACGTCCGCTCGGGTGCCTGGATTGATGCAATCCAGGTTCTCACGAGCTTGGGCAGACGGTCGCCTATATTCGGCAATGCTCAGGGTGGATCTACGTAAGTCTAGGCAAATGCAGTTGCTATTTAATCGTCAGTTGTCGCTGATAACCCCGACAGACATACTTTGATACCCCCGAGAGGATACACCATTTGCGGTGTGGCAGGCTCCTGTGGCGCCTGGGTCGACGGGTTTTCGATCCTCATTGTTCGATAAAGGAAATCAGTGGCGTTTCTGTCATTCTTACGAGCGGCAGCTGGAGATAAAACTTAATAGTATTTACGAAACAGGAGGAAGAATGGGAGCCCCAGTGCCATCATCCATGTGGCATGGTTTCCTGGCTCGTCCAGAATTGATGATGGAAATTGCGCGTCTTTGCTACAACTTCCTGGCGAAGCACGCCAAGACACCATTCGCCTTACACTGGAGTATTACGTCCCAAACTATGGCACGCTACTCTGGTTGGCGAGCATCAAACTAGGGGTTTGCCAGCCTCGGAATACCTAGCAGACGTGACGTCTTGGACATGGACAAGACTACGTACGGGACACGGTGAATTGGGTTGGGTGGCCACTTCGACGCAACAAGCGAAGGTGGGTTTTATAGCAGATGAACAAGTGATCTGCCTCGTCGTTGTAAGTAATACACGAAATGAATACACGGCTACATACATGGAGCTTAGACCTCGAAGTGGCACGCACGACATTGACAGTAACCTTCTATAAAGTAAGAAACTTGCCAAAACTGCGTCGGCCAGAAATTGTTGTCCCTGGAGGTAGCTGGGTAAAGAAGCTTACCCCAAGGAAAGGTGCGTAGGTGCCCCCTTTGGCATATGCCAATATGGTGCCCGTGCCAAGATCTCTTGGCTGTTGGCGGTGCCTGGACCGTGCAACGTTTCTCGTCATGGTGCAAATCACGTGCACGGAACCTCGTGAGCTGGACCAGCTTCCCCGCTAGTCGGCTTCAGGTCTAGAACGACAGGGCTATGACGGCATGTGCCTTCCCCAGCTATCCTAGTTGGCTTTGAGGCGGAAGAGTGTGACCGACTTACCTCATGCCTACCTACCTCTACCTTGCTTGCCCAGCACCACCGGTCATATTTCTTCCTACACCTACCTCCCACTCCACGAAACTGCGTACAAAAACTAGCTCAATCCTCTCAACCTCTCTTCTTCCACACCTCTCGTGCTTCGTTCCTTCAACGCCCACTGTCGAGATTTCTAAAAGGACCAGGAAAAATTCTACGAAATTGAACGGCTACATCAACAAGAATCTACCGTCTCTCTCCTCCGACGTCTTCACAGTTCACACAGCTAGCCTCAGGGAAAGACCCAACCAAACATGTCGAAACGGACAAGCAGCGTAGCCACCAATGGCAAGGTAGCCAAAGATGCTGCTGATAGCTTCGCCGAGCCTGGTATGTTGCACACACTACCCTCTTTAGATGCGACCCGAGCTAATGCGTCGCTTTCAATGCAGCCCACGATAAGCAGAATCTCCTTCTCGCGGCCGATCCTGGCCACTTCTCTTTGATCCGCGCCCTCCACCTCGCCGATGCAATTACCCTCTGTAATGGTACGGTCTGACATATCCCCGCACATTGTCCCAAGCGAGAAGCGTCTTCTGAGACCGGATGCACTGCAAGGTCATACTGAGATGTTGGAGAACAAGAGCACTGCTGACTTGCTGTGGAATAGGAGCTTGTGGTGTCATGTCAATCTTCACCTCTCTGCGCTACTGTCTCGGCGATCCCTCGTCCACTAGCACGCTGTACCTCGCTCTCTCATTCCTGCCATTCGGCCTTTTCTTCGACTTCATGGACGGTAAAGTTGCGCGGTGGAGAAAGAAGAGCGGTATGATGGGCCAAGAGCTTGATTCTCTGGCTGACCTGGTACGTTCAGACGACAAATCCGTATATCCGGGGTGGATGATCTACACCTAAAACCCTTGGCAGAGATTGAAGGAATCTCAACGGGCGGGATTGACTTGGAACACGCCCGGCTAATGTATGACACAGATCTCTTTCGGCGTCGCTCCTGCGTCTGTGGCATTCGCTCTTGGCTTGCGCACACCCATCGACCACCTTTGCCTGACCTTCTTTGTCCTCTGCGGCCTCACTCGCCTCGCTCGCTTCAACGTGACTGTCGCCGCTCTTCCCAAGGACGCAACTGGAAAAAGCAAATACTTCGAGGGCACCCCCATCCCTACCAGTCTTGGTCTTGACGCTGTGATGGCGTACCTGGTATCTCAGCGTTGGATTCTCCAGGACCTTCCTCTCGGAACGTGGCTGTCGGGAACTGCACTGGAATTCCACCCCATTGCTCTTGTGTTTGTGATTCACGGATGCCTCATGACTAGCAAGAGCATCCATATCCCCAAGCCTTAGAGCGTGTCTCTTAACGTTTGCGGTCACGCAATGAGCAAAGCGGGCAAGAGTCTGTTCTTCCTAGTTCTGGGGACGTATTTGGACTCTTAACACGAGTTCCACAAAAGCAAAGAAACAAAAGGGGTCCTCGTAATAAGATCTATCTGCGCAGCGAGAATGCGAACTGGGGCCATGAGCTAGTTTTTCGCCGCAGAATCATACGAGGCGAGGCCAGAGGTGAACAATACGGAGCGGGAACTGTCAGTCAATTATTAGACTGAGGAAACGAACGTCTGTAGCACAGAGATACACATCCAAGCGCGCACGCGAAAATACAATACGCATGATACCCTGTTTCTTACGCATTTGCCTCCATTGTCACTCGATCGTCGTCCATTGACATCATTTGGAATTCGATTTTTTCCGTATTTTGTTTGTTTTCGCACATCCATGGATACGATTTGTGCCTCTAGTCTAGGCTACAAATTTCAAAATGTTTCACCACCCACCCAAACACCATCTTCAAAATTCATTTTGTCATGAAAAAGCCATGCTCCATCTCTCAAGTTCATGCCTTGTCCTCCTTGGACTTCACCACGGAGGGGAATGGGTTATAGCTGCCGCGCTCTTCGCGCAGCTTCTTGATCTTCTCAACAGCCTCAGCGACGTCAACGGGCTTGCCGCGGTCCTGGCTCGAGGTGTCATCACGGTAGCGGATGTTGACCTGCTTGTTCTTCATCTCCTCGTCACCAACAACGAAAATGAAGTTGTATTGGCTATGCAAGTTAGTCACGTCCACCCCAAACGGGAGCGCAGTCCATGGTACGTACCTCAACTGGGCGCTTCGAATCTTCTTGGGCAGCGTGTTGCCGGACAGGTCGACATCACTAGATAGGTCGAGTTAGCGAATCTCTTCCACATCACAACGGGTAGCGGAAGACTACTTACACCCACATGCCCTGCTTCTTGAAGGTGGCTTGGACTTCCTCGGCGTATTCGACGAAGCCCTTGCCAACAGGGATGACCATGATTTGCCTAGGGCTGAGCCAGAAGGGCCACTTTCCGGCAAAGTGCTCGATGAGGATACCTGGGACATCAATGTTAGCGAGGCTCAAGCGACATACAATCTGCAACTCTTACCTGTGAATCTCTCAATGGATCCGGCCATGGCACGGTGGATGATGACAGGGCGCTGGCAGCCGTTCGTCAAAGGCTTGATGACGCGCTTCTTCTCCTTCTCCTCCTCGCCAGTGCCGGCAGCCGAGTCGATAACGGCTTGAGGGTCCTTTGCCTTGAATTCGGGGGCCTTGGGAGCGGCAGGTGCCTCCTCTTCCTTTGGCTTGGTGATGACTTCCGCTGAGACGTATTCAAGACCAAAGCTCTGAGGAAGCTGGAAGTCCAGCTGAATAGTGGCGCACTGCCACTCACGGTTCAAGACGTCCAGGATCTTGATATCAATCTTGGGACCGTAGAAGGCGCCATCACCCTCGTTGATAGTCCATGGCACACCGCCTTCTGTGGCGGCGAACTCGTCGAGTGCCTGCTTCAGCATGCCCTCAGCCCTGTTCCATGTCTCAAGCTCTCCCAAGTATTTGTCTGGGCGAGTGGAGAGACGGAGCTTGAAGGTGAAACCCAGCAGGCCGTACATCTCGCTGAGGAAGTCAAACAAGTTGCTGATCTCAGACTTGATTTGATCCTCTCTGCAGAAGATGTGAGCGTCGTCCTGCTGGAATCTGCGCACACGGGTCAGGCCGGACAAGGCACCGCTGGCCTCGTTGCGGTGAAGGACTCCAAAGTCAGCAACACGCCACGGCAGCTGGTGGTACGCCTTGGGGGTGTGAGCGAACATGAGGCAGTGACCAGGGCAGTTCATGGGCTTCAAGCCGAACTTCTCCTTGTCGACATCGAGGACGAACATGTCATCCTTGTAGTGGTCCCAGTGACCACTGATCTTCCATAGCTCTGCGTTGTACATGTTGGGGGAGATAACCTCGTGGTAGTCGCGCTTGAAGTATTGCTCCTTGATGTAAGCCAGGAGGGTGTTGTAGATACGCGCACCATGGGGCAGCCACATGGCACTGCCGGGGGAGAGCTCGTGGAAGAAGAAGAGTTGCTGGTCCTGGCCCAACTTGCGGTGATCACGGGCAGCTGCCTCCTCAAGCCACTTCTTGTGCGCAGCCAGCTCCTTTTTGCTAGGGAAACTGACACCATAGACTCGCTGCAGAGAGTCATTCTCCTGGTTACCGAGGAAGTAGGAGGCACTGTTCTTCATGATGCTGAAAGCCTCAATACGGTCGGTGCTGGGAACGTGGGGTCCACGGCAAAGATCGATCAAAGGACCGTTGCGGTAAACAGTGGTCTTGGTACCATCGGGAATCTTGTCGTTAATGATGTGCTGCTTGTACTTGTTGTAGCTGAACATCTCCAGCAGCTGCTCCTTGGTAAGCTCAAGGCGCTCAAACTTCTGCTTCTCCTTCACAATCGATCCCACAATAGACTCCAGGGGCTTCCAATCGCTAGCCTGGACAGAAGCGCCGCCGGGGAGCGCCATCTCGTAGTAGAAACCGTTATCGACCGGAGGACCGATGCACAGGGAGCATCCGAATCTCCTCTCACAAGCCTCGCCAAGAATGTGTGCAGAGCTGTGCCAGAAGACCTGCTTGCCCTGCTCGTCGTCAAAGTTCACCAACTCCAACTTGCAGCTCTTCTCCAGGGGTCTATCCAAGTCCCACAACTGGTTCTGGTCACCGTCAAGTCTTGCGACGACGGTGCGCTTGTACAGGCTGTTGGAGATGCTCTTCGCGATTTCGCCGGGAGTCGTCTCGTAGCTGGTGCCCTGACGGATAGAGCCGTCGGGCATGGTGATGGTGATGGCCTCACGTGGCCTGCTGGCGAGCTCTTCATCGTACTCCTTCTTCAACTTGTCGAAAAGGTCGAGTCTCTTCTGGAGGAAATCGGGGGGAGGGTTGAGCTCGAGGGGTCCGGCCGAGGCATCGCCAGCATCCTTGGCCTTCTTCTCCTTCTTTGGCGCCTTGTCCTTGTTAAGGGCGACCTTCTTGACGCCCTCGGTGACGGCCTCGACGGCCTGCTTCGCGGAATCCATAATGTCGTCCAATTGAGCGGTCGTGCTAGGCGTGAGAAGGGTGAGGGTTGAAAGAGTGAAGGCACACGAAGATCGATTTTCGTGTCAACAAATTTGGGCGAAACACAGCGAAGCAACCCCGCCAAAGCCTACGGTGAGTCAAACAAGGTGTTCGGACGACTTTCTGGTGGTGTCTGGCCCGCACTCCCTGCATTGGAGCCCACCACCCCGCCAATGGCCCTCAAGTCAGGCAGGTGGGCTGGTGGCTGGCCAGGTATTGGAAATTTTGGCGGGGTCCCCCGGAAGGGATTGTTCCGACCCGCCAGCTGTGGCCAATGAGGTAGCTCGATTGGCCTGCACCACAATTTGGTCGCTGGGAAATTTTCTGTCGCCTACCCGTTGGCTTCGTTTTTTTCAATAGCAGCACGCAGCACTCAATACAGGAGCAGCTCCGAACGACAACCCGCCAATCCACATATCAACATGTCATTCGGACGAGGAGCTCCGCGCGGTCGCGGCGGTGGTGGTTTCGGTGGTCGCGGCGGCGGCGGTTTTGGAGGTATGGAACTTTGCATTTCGTTATTCCCAATGCACTTGCAGATTAGGTCTGCTTGGTGACGGAATTTACAGTACGATGCTAACATAACTTGAAAGGCCGTGGTGGCTTCCAGAACAGAGACATGGGCCCGCCCGCGACAATCCTTGGTATGTTCTCTCACCTTCACGCTGTGTTGTCGCGCGAGAGTATTCTAACCGTCCATTTTTGGTATAGAGATGGGCAAGTTCATGCACGCTTGCGAAGGCGAGATGATCTGCGAGAGCATCAACCCCAAGGTTCCTCACTTCAACGCTCAGATCTTCCTCGAGAACAAGGTGCGACCTATCCCTCGTCGATCTACATCTCGATCGAAATAAGCCAAAGGGAAAAAAGAAAAATTCGACTAACTTGATTTTAACAGACTGCCGTTGGCAAGGTCGACGAAGTCCTCGGACCCATCAACCAGGTTTACTTCACCATTAAGCCCTCCGAGGGTATCCAGGCCACTTCCTTCAAGGAGGGCGACAAGTTCTACATCGGATCCGAGAAGCTCCTGCCATTGGAGAAGTTCCTGCCCAAGCCTAAGCCTCCCCCAGGTGCCCCCAAGGTCAAGCGTGCCGGCCGTGGTGGCCCGGCAAGAGGCGGTCGCGGTGGCCCCCGTGGCGGCTTTGGCGGCCGCGGAGGTGCTCCCAGAGGTCGTGGTGGCAGTGGTTTCGGTGGCCGTGGAGGCGGTCGCGGCGGCGGTGGCTTCGGTGGTGGTCGCGGTGCGCCGAGAGGAGGTGGTGGCTTCGGCGGTGGCCGTGGCCGGGGTGGTTTCAGCAGAGGAGGCCGGTAGGCCATGACTGGAGTTTTCAGCTTCAAAGTCTTAGTAGGGGAGGGTTTTATCTGTTGGACTACGACTCTGGCGTTCGGGTTTGCTTTGCTTTCTCATCGGGCCTGGCGATAGGGGTTCGAGGCTACATGTACATCATCCACTGTGGTCAACCAAAAATTAGAGAAAAGTCTTGATTGAAAGTGTTGGACAGTTCAGGATGATCATGGCCTAATATCCGCCAACGGCTGTCTGAAGTCTCCCGGTCACTGATGTTTTATCTCTGCAAGGTCTTGCGGAGGAGCTATTTTGTTTCTCACAAAGATGATCAAAACCAGGTCGATGAATGACTGAGGCCAGTTCTTTTCGTCAGGTCTATCTTCTGGCCCTATACGCATCTCGCCTATTCTCAGCTCAATTCAGACATCATTGCAATGCGACAACAACAGCAGACCGCGCAAACAGCAAAGACTATAAATGATAACGTGAGCCAAAGAATGAATAATACGATCAAAATTCCGAATGGCGGTCTGAGGAGATCGCGCTGTATGATTCTTGGTCAGTAGGCAGCTGAAACAAGTTCTCCGTGGGAACAGGATGAGACTACTAGGTTATTAGCGGTGTGTACGAATGACTTCCCTCGCCTCTGAATGCGTCGTCAGTTCTGATAAGCTCGCGGGTTCTGCCGCGTGTTTCGCTTGCCAGGGCAAAGAAGAAGAGTGCTTGGTTAATATGAAAGACAAAGTGGCTTGGCTCCTACCTAGGCATCCGGTTAAGAACGGGGAGTCTAAGCGGCTTCCGCAGCCCCGCCGTTACCTTTCTACAATGAGGCTGAGTCTCTGACGGAATGTCATTTCCAAAAATATCCCAACGCCTTTCATTCCAGTTATTCCACAGGCAACAGAAGCAATTCGAAATTTGAGAACACGACTGACGAAGATACTGGCCGTTCTGGAGAATTACGATTGAGCCGAATGCCATGTTTTCTCTTGGGTTCGTGATCAACCTGTCTCCTCCGTCACTCATAGTCACTTCGCTTTCTCGCGACTCAGCCACGAATTTCATATCGCATCAGTTCTTTCTGACAACTCTGACCCGAAGTCGGGACCAAGTTCGTTCATCATGCCAGCTTGGCATGAAACAATTTTAACTCTGATCTGAGAACTGCCATTACGGTGGCACTTATCGTACAGGGCCAAGAGTTCGGCCTCTTTCGTGTAGTATCACGGAAGTTCCCTTGAGCGACCTGGGGCGTTTACGAAGGATCTTTGTTGGTGGCGCGGTTCTTTGACAAGTGGGGAATGATTTACATCGTTGGCGCCAATCTCCCATCCTCCTTCGCATCAGCCTTGCTTGCTAACCGGGATCCCTGTTACAACGTCGTCTATCTACACATGTCCAAGGTAGTTGAGATATTGCCGAACATCAAAAGTCCATTCGACGTGTCTGCGTACTGTCTCTCTTCATGACTATCCAGGTACTAGCAGTAGTTCAGACGAACCGATGGAGGTCGTCACATGGTACGACACAGCAGCGCCGGACTTGGGTGTCCATCAACTAGTGTGATCTAAAGACGAGTGTCGATTTGGCAAACTAGTTCAATGTGCCGGCAAGATGCATATCTTGCATGCCGCTTACCGAAGGCCACCCCGAAATAAAAGAGACATGCATCAAGACCCCCCCAAACATGTCTGCCTCGAGCAGCAAACACGGTAGCTCAGATGAAGAAGCATTGACTCCATGGACACTGTTCTAAAGCAAGCTTCAGTAGCCCCGAACCAGCCCTTCGAGACGGGGAACCACGGAGAGGCAGTGGCCTGCTGCGGCGCCCTGATCAAGGCCCATGCCCATGACCATGGCCCAAAGGATAATAATTGCCTACGCCAGCCCCCTTGCGAGAGCCATCGTCAGCATCCACCGGGTATCAGTAGCTCAAGCCTTGAAGTGGACACCAATTTGTCGAGTCGCTCGAGCTACCAAGGTGACCAAGGTTGGGCAAGTGTCTCGTTCAATACCCGATTCTGTGTAGTCTGTACCTCAGACTGGTCTGCGTGCCCCTGCCAGCAAGTCTTCATTTATCAAGGCACTTCCTACACTTGATTTGTACTGGTAACCGACCTCTTTTGCTCTCTTTCTCTTCTTCTACTCCATCTTACCATTTCATTTGTATTGGCGTTGCTTTCTATTCTCATACCTTCGTCTACCAGTACTTAACTAGTAGCTTTGCGGTGTTGGCTCTATTGTAGTGTCCAGTCTAAGATTGAACATTGAATATCGATACTTCACCACACTACGGTCTTCACAGATGCGTGTACTTGATACACACCGACATGAGCTACTCAAGCACCACACATTCACCGTCTACTACTCGCACACCGACGACAGCATGGGAAACACGAAACGCAGATGAGGCGATGCAGAGGGTGGCGGATGTTATGATCGCAGTCACAGAGTCGTTTCGACAACAGTTCCGAGAAGAAAACGCGAATGACAGCAGGCCATTCGGGCCCAACGGGCCAGGGAACTTGAGCTGGCGGACTTCGGCTCCGGTTCTCGTCTCCCCCATTCTCGATGACGACGGCGTGAGCCCAACAAATTCACATTATTCTCGGCCGAGCACGGCTCCTTCAGCCCTCGACACCTCCAGACATGATGCTGCGTTGCCTGTGTCGCCTACTTCCTCTCGCGGTCCGACAACGTCACCACTTTCACGGGCCATGATGCTAGGGGCGTTGTCCGTTGGTCGACATCCGGCCACAGAGACCACACACCCGCATAACGATACGGAGATACAGGCCCATCAACCATCGACTTCGACGCCGTTGATAAAACCCGCGGCTGCCACCTCACTGCCGAGAGGGTCAGGTCCAGAGGCACTGGAACATCCTTCAGAGTATCCAGACTTATTCGAGGCCGCTAGGAGGATAGTCTTCACACAACGGTTCAGGTCCTCAACGGAGGCAACGCCCCTCAACAGGCCCAGCGAGAAATCCAGGCATCCAGAAAACGAGGAACGCATTTCCTGGGCTCTACAGAACACATCGTATCCGGAAGAGCCCCTCCTCCGAGAGATACGACCAGAGCCACTGTCGTCTGCAAAGGAGTCCTTCCTAGTAACCGTTGTCAGTTTGTACCAGTTTCTCATGTTCGCCGGCCTCGCCCAGGGCGTGGCACCGGCTCTCACTATCGCCGAGTCGTTTCCAGATATACCGAGCGGCCAGCACTCGTGGTTCACCGCAGCCTATACACTCGCCATCGGGGCCTTTGCCCTCACCGCGGAACGTCTGGGTGACGTCTTTGGCCGCAAGCCCGTTATCATCACCGGCTGCCTCTGGTTCGCGCTCTGGAGCCTTCTCGCCGGCTTCTCCGTCAACGTCCAAAACGGCGGGGCAGACGGCACCGCCTACCTCTGCTTCTGTCGTGCCATGCAGGGTCTGGGGCCGGCGCTCTGCGTAGCCAATGGCTTCTCGGTTCTCGAAAAGGCGCTACCGCCGAGCCAGAGGAAAGACATGGCGCTGGCGTTCTTCAGCGCCGCCGCACCCGTGGGCTTCGTGGTAGGCGCGGTGATGTCGTCTCTGTTCGCCTACAACGATTCCTGGGAATGGTCCTTCTTCGTCCTCGCGGCCGTCAACATCTCCGCCGCCGGCCTCAGCCTTCTAGTCGTCCCACGGCAAGCCCCTCGGAAAGGCCCATATGATCATACCATCTGGGTCCAACTCGACATATCCGGAACCCTCCTCGGCAGCAGCGGTCTCGCCCTATTCAGTTTCGCATGGAACCAGGCACCGGCCGTGGGTTGGCGCACACCGTACACTTACTTCATCCTCATCATCGGCGCCATGCTCCTCGCCGCCTTTTTCTACAACGAGACCGCCGCCGCGAACCCCCTCCTCCCGCTGCGCGCCCTGACTTCGAGGCCCAACCTGATCCTAGGCTGCACGGCAGCGGTGTGGGCCTGCTTCATCATCTGGGCCTTTTACAGCTTCCAAACCCACGAGGTCCTGCGTAGCTGGGACCCGCTCCTGGCCAGCGCGGGCTTCGTACCTGTCGCCGTCGAGGCCGTAGCCGTGGGCCTGCTACTGGCGTATCTCATGCCCGGAGAGGAGGTATACTGGGCGTTCTTCGCAGCCGTCTTGTCCTTTCTACTGGCATCCATACTCATGGCGACGGCACCGTCCGACCAGACGTATTGGGCAAACACGTTCGTCAGCACCTTATTCGCTCCGCTTGGGATGGTCCTGACTACGCCTCTTGCCACCATCCTGCTCAGACAAAACCTGGCAGATGGGCACCAAGGAGTCGCGAATGGTCTTGTTCTGGCTGTGTCGAGTTACGCCATGTCGCTGGCTATGGGGATCGCGAGGACCGTAGAGGTCCAAGTTGATTCAAGTGGCACGGAAAAGCTGTCCGGGTTTCATGGGGCTCAATATCTCGGGATCGGTCTAAGTGGCCTGGCAGTAATATGTGCAACAGTACTCCTGGTACTAGTAGTAAAGTTCAGAGGTATATCTGATGAAGACGTATAGGCATAAGAAAGGGTTGGTTGGATATCATTTGCATCGTGCTGGTAGTCGACAAGGAGATAAATGAAATACTGTCAAAATGGTAAAAATAAAAAGGGGGGTCGGCACTCTCGTTGCTCTTTCCGCGCCTTGGTCCCCTGCACACACATTCTCTTCTCGATCACATTGGAGGCAATAAACATCGACACAAGAAACCCATGCCATTGTGGTCAATCACATAGGATAGAAAACCAAACGGCCAGACCCATCTCTTAACCAATGCCAGCCACTCCCTCATGCTCGAGTCATTTTATCCTCCCAGTCGATCCCGTACTCCAGTTTCCTTTCCCATCCCTTCTCCTCAACGTCTGGCTTCGACTCCTGGTGTACCCTTGGGGTATTCACCTGGAATATGCAAGTTGGAAATCGTCGGTACACTGTCGGTTCTGATGGTGCCAGAAGTCGGCCGAATCGCTGATAGCTGTTGATGCTGACGAGGCACATCGTGGCTTGCAGGCGTCGACGCTTTATTAACACCAGAGAACCCACTCTGGTCAACCTCCTTGTTCTGGGTATGGCCGTTGCCCATGCCAACAATAGGAATCACATTGACGTGGCCGGCATCTCGTTCACCTGACGCGTAGTACTCGCTCGTCTCTTGCTGATCGACGATGCCGCTGTTGGAAAGGCCAGAGGGGGCCTTCCCGTTGCCATTCATCCACTGACCATACTGGCTATTGCCGCCTGGTGTCTCGAGGCCACGATCATATCCGCTGACATTGGAGACAGGCCTAGACTCATCGTCATAGTTGCCAATGGCGCCATGGTGGCTATGCACTCGCTGTTCCTTATCTCCAGGTACAAATACTGCCTGGTGTCCGCGGCTGCCAGACTGAGATCGGCGAATTGCTTCGCTGGTATAAGGGTTGACTCCGTCTTCCTGAGCCTGCTGGGACAATTCGGCTGCATGGGAAGGCATTTCTTCCATGGGGGTCCGGTCTGACCCTCCGTAACCTGTAGGATGTTCGGGATGTTCATTCGACGCGTGGTAGACGCCCAGCATGCTTCCCGGTAGAGCGTATGCTTGCGCGGCGGCGTCACGGTCAGAGTTGTCAAATCCGGAGCTTACACTAGATGGCGAAAGAGGTGCCTGTAAGCCTCGCTGTGCGTTGACTTGGATGTCGGATGGGAATCGCCCACCTGCTTCGGGACGGCGGACGTCTTGTCTCGAACTCGTGCTGGCTGCAACCGCCGTGTCGGCCGAGAATGGTTCGTCGTCGTCATCTTCAAGAACACCGTCGCTGCTAGTGGAGCGCTGCGACGACTGGCTGAGACTTCGAACGTGACCGCGGACAAATTCGCTCCTTTCCTGCGGCGACCTCTCGGTGAGAACTTTGATATCCTCGTACCAAGCCATCATTGTGTCATGGCTCTCAGCACGGAAGACCCATGTGTGGCCACGGTGCATTGATCCCGTCTGGCGACCCTTGAGAATGAACTTATTGGACGATCCTCCTTCGCTCGAGTGCGAACCTAGTTTCTGCTCTGGAAGATATAAAGACATGACGGGGGCCTGGCCCTTGTCTGCGGATTTGAATTCATGAAGATGAGTCGATGAAAGTACATACCTGGGGCCCAAAGTGTCAGTAGGGTGTTTTAGATGACGGCATCAGCGTAGTTGGGGAACCACTTACCAGCCAGCTGTGTAGCTTTTGAGGTATTTGCTTTTGCGCTCGAGCAATCCGGCACGAATCTCCTGGCACCCAACGTGCTCCCGGCCGGGATAATGGATATGTTCGGCAGAACGGATTGGGATATTGGGGTCCACGAACTGGTCGTCCTTCTGAACGAAATGTGACCACTCGAAATCTTTAGGCATGGAGATTGGGCCAACGCGAAGCTCTTCGATTGCCCCGTACGCAGCATCAGACTCGCGCTTGAGTATGCCAGCGTAGGCGTTATAAGCCTTCTGGATCTCACCAACCACAATAGCTTCAAGCTCCCGGCCGGAGTTCTCCAAGTTCAGGTAAGCCTGGTGCAAGTAGTTCTCCTCATCGATCTGGCGCTCAACCTGTCTGTCCACCGCGAGCCGCAAGAGGTAAGGGTCTTGCTTTCCGGTCGTCAGCGATGGGTCGAGGTCGGTCTGGCCTAGAGTGTCTTGCAGAGCCTTGACGGCCCTTCGGGTACCGTCCATCTCCTTTTCCACGGAATTTTTGAAGTCTCCAGACAGGTTCTTGATTTCCTTGATCTTCTGGTGTAGGTCGTTTCTCAGTCCAGTGAGAGCCAAAATAACGTCCTCCTCAATCTCCTTGGCCTTGTTTGATTCTAGGATGGCGCCTTTGTGATAAGCACGCAGTATTTGTAGTGCGTCGTCGATGCCTCCCGAGTTGAGGAAACCAGGAGGGCTGGAGATGTTGTTGGCGACATTGGCCAGCTTCACCAGAGACTTGGACTTGTGCTCGTAGTGCGTCTGGATTTCGCGGAAGTATGCGATAAGATCCTTGAGAATCTTGCGCCAAGCTACAAAATCATGTTAGTCTGGCGTACACGTAGCTCATCGGCACCAGGAAGAGCTTACACTGGAATCGATTGGCCAGGGCCTCGGTTGGGTTCCCAGACGTTGGAACGGGGCAATGGAAAGCGCTGTGCACCTCGTCCGCATCGTTGGAAGACTGCAGAGCCAGGCTACGAACGCTGCCGGCTTTCATGCTCCGACGACTCCCGCTCCGCTTTAGACTGCCATTTCTGCGCAGCGAGCTCTTCTTCTTGAGGGTATTGTGGCGTGAGGGGAGACTCAGATGGTCGTCCCCATTGTTGGAGACGAACGAGTTGGACCGTGGCATGTTGGAACCGTCAATGATACTGCTTCCTCTTTGACTTGCATCCCATTCCTCTGTGAACTTTCCCTGGGTGGTCGCGGAGGGCACGGCTAGCTTGTTGTCGTAGTTTGAAGCAGCAGTCGGAGGATCGTAGTAAGCACCGTCACCTCCTTGTGAGGAGTGTTGTGTTTGGTGGCTAACGGATTGCGAGTTGGCAAGAGTGTTGTAATGTGTTTCTTGGTCCCCGTCGTATGGCAGAGGAGCGGCGTTCTGAGGGGTAGGATATGTAGATGCGCCGGAAGCGGGAGGATTGTAGGACGAGGAGGAGGAGAGCTGAGGTGGTTGTTGAGGGAAGTAGGACGAGGTGCGATTTGAGTTCCTGTCGGCCGCAGTGCCGTAGGCAGCTCTGTCCATGTCTTGTGTAGCTGGTTCCCTGTAGGAATCGGGATCAGCGATGTGCGGCGCGTGGTTGGAGTATGCCTTTGGCGTGGGTGTAGAGGGAGGCGGGGATCTGGCTGCCATTGTTGGCGTTCTTGGGACGAATACACGGTCGGTACTCTGTCACTCTGTGCGGAAAAGTAGGGAGACTGAGACAGGCCGGGAGGCCGGTGTTAATCTGACGACAGCGACGACTCAGACTAGCGCAAGGTATCAGCAGTGATGCTGGCGTCGGAAGGGGTCGCTGGTGAACTTTTAGACGGGTTTAGACAGCTTTAGCGCGGCGAAGGAGGGGGAACGGACGGGTCGATAATGGGAAAGGTGGTTAGTGTATCCAGTTGCGGTGTGCTTGACGCAATAGCAGTGAGAGAGGGTCGTCTTGGGCTCAGACCAATGTCGTCATCAAGTACGTTCGAGTCGTGGTGGCGGCTACCGATTTGGCTCGGTGGAATGTTGATGTGTCTTGGAGGCTGATTGCGCACCTTTGTGATTTGCGCGACTGCTAGTTGCTTCAAGGCGGTGATGACGGGAGCGTGCCGGACGTTGCAGGCTTGAGACTGCAAGTCGGTGGAAAATAGAGGGGGGAAAAGAGAGGGAAAAGGAGAGGAAAAAGGGAGAGGGAGAGAAATGGTGAGAGACGGGTGCCACGATTGATGTTTGTAAGAACAAGATGGGGTTTGTTGGTGTTGCGCAGGACTGCTATCAATACCAAAATGTTGTAACCAAGGTAAGCGCAAGCACGTATACGGTACCTAGGAATGGTAAGGTAGGTAAGGTAAGGAAGGAACCTTTTGACAGGACGGGAACGAGGATCGAGGGTGAAGCGTCACGCGTGATTGTGAAGGACATGGAGACTGGAGTAGGAGACAGCCCGAAAGTCAGGTAATTAGGTTCCCTGAGCCGGGGGTGTTTGCACGCCAGCTTCCCACTTTGACCCGGGGTATCGCAGTCTCTGGGCACCGCGTCGACGGATACAGACATTGCAGGACAGGGGGGGAGGGGGTGCCCACTGACCACTGCCATGTGCGTTTCCATTTCCAACTTCTTGCCTTGCATTTTCTTTTTCCACCTTTCTAGGTACCTGTCATAGGTAACCAATATCTAAATGAGATGTCTTACTGGGGGTCTGATTACTTTTGTAGCAGCATCCCATATCATCGACAACGTGCACCGTCGTCCCGTCTCTGGACCGTTGCGCCTCCGACTCCCTTCTGCTTCGACTTAAGGTGCCTAGGTAGGGCAAGTTTGTACTGAATCTGATGTTTCTGACCGTCACTGTGCTGTACAATGTTGCGCGCGGGTGCCGCTGCAAGAACCTGGGCAAGTCGCAGCGCAACACGGACTGACGAACAAGGAGCTGCGCCTGCGGCCTGAGTGAGGTGCAGGGTGCCCTCGTCGACCTAGCGCAGCTGGACCCTGAATTGCGCGTCTACTTTGGGGGATTGGGATCGTCCGCCCTAAGGCACCTTGGGTAAGTGGTATAGTACTTTGCTTATTACCTAGGTACCTTACCTTTAGACATTGGACTAAACCTGTATAAACTTCCAAGGTTCAGTGACCTCCGGCTATCCAGGTGAGTGAACCGTCGCGAAACACCAAGGGGTATCTCATGAACCGTGTCACCAATCATTCCAACACATCACGGGTATTTCTCATCTGGTCCCTCTTGTAATACGTATTTCGTCAAGACAAATGTGTTCACACGGTCATGGAGGAGTGAAAGACAGTCAAGGTGGCACATGGGCTGAGAAAGGTTTCTTCCTCCTACACTTAACTTGGTAATAAATCTCACTTGGTGACATTGCCTCATTTCCTCTTAGACTCCCGTCGTCGCAAATGGCACCAACAAAAAAAAAAGAAGACGAAGGCCAAGAAAAGCTCCCAGCGCTGCGCGTCAGGCCCCGTCGATGACGTAGTCGCCCCTCTCCAAAACCACCAAACGGGTGACATTCGCTGCAACCTGACCATCAAACACCCGGGGGCCCGTTTCCTTTCCAAATTCCACCTCACTACTGTGTCACTGTGTACGGAGTAGATAACCGTATGAACTCTACTACGCACCTTACCTACCTTGCGTTAGTACGGATAGGCAATCCCGATTCCCACATCTCCCTCTGGCCTCTGCATGTTCGTAGCTCGACGGATATCCGCCAACCCGCTACTAGTCGCCCGCGTCAAATCACCTTCACCATGGAAGATGCTGTCACCCACCATCACGACCTTAGCCAAACCAGCTGCACGATCCTACCATCTCGAAAAGGACGTGACGCATCCGTCCCACCCGGCCGGGCCGTCCATTCTCTTCCATCCAGAGAAACAACACATCAACCATTGAACCAACAGCCTGAACCATTCGAGCTGAACTTGAAGTTCACAGCCCAATCAGCGCCCAGTCGCAGCACACACAACCCACCCGAGCTTAATCGAGGTCATGATCGTCTTACACACCCCTTGGCCAAGCGTTGTTTTCAAAAAAAAAAAAAAAAAAGGTAGCCGATTGCCAAGCACCCCCGACTTCCCCATCAATCAACCATCTTTTTCCTGTTTTGTTCCCCCGTGTTTGTCGCATTCTGCCCGCAAACAACTCCCCGAGCCCCCCGGGGCTGAGTTCCATCGGCATGCCCGGGCTTTGCCCCCAAGTTCAAGCTGAGTGCTGACGGAAATGTGGCTGCGCGGGGCAGCTTGCACCTCGGACATTCACCAGACTCCTTCATCCGCTGTTGTTCGATACGGTCGACAATGGCGAGTGCATTCGTTTTTTCAGACGTACGGAACTCTCATGTGCAGGACATACATCAGCACTATGCTACGCGATTCCTTGATCTGCGCGGCATAGTTTGTTATCACATGCTGTCTTGACCGAGTCCAAGGCACCGCACCCAGATCGCACCCTACCCCTCCACAAGTCACGATATAACCAACTTCGCTTCTCTAAGTCATCACATACGACCATACCCATTGGAAAACTCGGGATCCCGTCCGCTCTCCCATAGATAAGCCAATGAGGGCCGGATTAGTAGTTGGGTCGGTGACGACCAGCGAATACCTGGTGTTGTATGTTTTTGAAGTTTTGTTCCAGACATCGTGAGGTTGCGCAGTGAACCTCAGTGTCAGCTGCGTTGCTGCATGCTGACCATTCGTGTCATGTTTGGGGAAAATTTTTGCTGGGACTTTGCTCCTTCCCTCCTCATCTTGTCATCCCTGATTGGGTTGGGCTCAACTCCAGGCCTTCTTGCCTGCAAAGCACATCTCATCCTCTTCGATTGAGGCCGGTACTAAGGTAAGGCAGGTAGTTCATCTTCCCACTTCTACTGTGTATGCTGAAAATCCAGGCGCGGAAACCTGGCCTCGGATGAACCCTAAATGTTGTTTACCCGTTGTCGTCCATGATACCGAGTCTGTGCCTCTAGGTTTACGAGTAAAGTTGAGATTGGGAAGTAGCGGACCCATGGCGTTCATCTCATGTTGCTTCGAGATGAAGTGAATCTATCTTAACTCCGATTTGACTCTTCCGATTTCACTCTTTAACAAGTCCTAGTGACTTCCGGCCAAGTCGTCACATTCAGCACAGACTTTGATGGTGAAAATGTTTACTAACGCACGCACGCTTGCTTGATCTCGATCTTCATCTCATCCACTCAAAATGCGTGAATTTTGCAGCTGCTACGAGGCGGTAATACCGTCTTTGGACTGGGTGAAGCAGTCCTCGGGATCCCAAACGCCATGATATGCTATGACCGTAACCCGAACGCTCGACGCCATCCTTAACGTTGCGACCGCTATGCCTTCTCTGCTTTCCAAGTGCACAACTCCAGGCCATATCGTCAAATCGAGCAAACACCTGCACCAATTCATTTCGTCGTTTGGTCCGGCCGCCAGGACCAGGCCAGCTCGCATTGCTTTTCAAGCCTCTGGCACAGGGGCACTGTCCGCCACGGGCTCCAGAGGTTGGAGCTTCGTCTTTCTCCGTGGCGGCGGTGCTTTTGGTGGTATCTTCTTATGTCCATTCAAATGCAACGTCGTCGTCGGTCCGACCGGCACGCCATGTCGGTGTTTCGGTACCTCGGGCAACGGCTTCTTCGGCCGCACAGCGCCTGTCCCGGCCTTTGCCTCCCCTTGTTTGGCTTCCGCATCCGCCTCGGCCTTGCGACTCGGGGTGATGACACCCGGTTTCTCCATGACGGCGGCGACGTCGACAACACTAACACTGCTCGCCGTGTCCGAACGTGTGAGACTGATTCCCAGGAACTTCCGAGCCACCTCTGCCTCGCCAGAAGCCTCCTGCTCGACAAGCCATTTCACTTTCGAGACTCTGTCGACCAGGCGCACCGTCGTTTCGTCCGCAGGGGCAAAGTGAGAATTGCCGTAACCACCCAGAATCCTCAAGACCTTGAGTACCTCATCACGCTTGTAGTGCGGCGGGTGGCTAAGTTGCGTGTGCGCCAGGAGTGGGTACAGGACTCGGAGGTATGTGTGGCGAAGCGATATCTTCTCGTCCGGCAGGTCCATCAGGTTCCTAATGATAACGTCAAGGAGGACCTTGAGGTCATTTGTGTAGAAGTATTCATATGTGGCTTTGGTTGTAAATAACAGATAAAGGAGTTTCAGGATCAAGAGTTGCAGAGACGTCTCGGTCTCACGGTTTAAAAGTAAAATGATGTTCTCTCCGAAGGTGCGAAACGAATCGCCGTGGAGACTAAGGCACTTGATCACCCTGTTCGTTAGAGGGGCGGTGGGCGAGTCCGGATCGGAGGCGACGTCGGTAGACGCGAGCATGTATTGTTCGTTGAGAACCAACTGTGTTCATATTCGTCAGCGCCAATGAAGGACAGGAGAGAGTACGAGGAGGGTAGTCATACCAGCACTCGGATGATTGGATAGTGGTATGGGTCGTGAACGTCGTTAGACAACTCCTCGATGATCTGGAAGAGATATGCAACGAAGCCATCGTCGACCTGGAGCAAATCGGCGGTGCGCAACCTTTCGACCCGGGACATTTCGTACATCAGCTCCAGAAGCAAGCGATGCAGCCTCAGATCCTGGTCTTTACGTCCGTTAATCAGCTCGAGGAGCCGAGGGAAGCACGCCTCCTCGATCATACGAGAGTATAAGGCCTCGTCGGCATGGCCGTCGAGCAAAAGAAATAGTACAATGGCGTGCAGCGACGGGGGTTCGTCCTCCTGCAGGAGACTATAGACGATCTGGTTGCGAATGTAGTCCTTGTTGTCCTGAAATAGCTTGCATTGCAGCAGCTTCTCGCAGCAGGTGGCGACATCATTTTCGTTTTCGGGGAACTTGTCTCTGAACCTCGAAGTAAGATAGAGCCACGATCGCAGGGTTTCGTCGATTAAGTCGTGGGACTGGTACTGGGTGGTGACGACGTCGTCGAGCTCTGCAGTTAACGATGAGACTCTGGTCAGCGACAAATTCTACGATGCGCGCAGTTTGCGACGTAGAAAAGTATGGTCTGGGAAGAGAGGAGGAAGACAACATCATGAACAGCAAGGCGGGGGAGAACAGAAGAAGCATCGAGGGGTTGAATTTGGGGGCGAACTTGGCTGACCTTCCCAAAACTGGTGCTTGGTCTCGAGAGACTCGTATAGATCGAAGTCGGCCATGATGCTAAAACCACCGCTGATACGTGGGTGGAATGGTCTGCATCACCGGCGCAGTGCAAACAGCGACTGCTTAAATATGGGAGGAGCAGAAGAAGAAAAAGAGAAGTGCTCGATACTCGGTGGGATGAAGATGAGGCCGGCTGGAGTTTCGACTCTTTGGGATTTGATACACCACATGGCTTGACAACAAGGTCCCCCTCTTCAGGTACCTAGTCGGGCCAGGGCAGCCTGCGTCCAGGCCCGAGCTGGATGAGGTAAGGACGTTCCACCCTTGAAGTACTGTACAGGCCCACTGACCGGCAGCGGCAGCGACAACACTGAGTCCTGGACGGGAGTTGGTTGGCGGCTGCCACGCAGTGAGGGGACTTTGTTTTTTTTTGGAGTGAAGGTGGGGGAAATGGGAAGAGGAGGGGGGGAATGGAGGGGTTGGGGACACCGATCTTCCACTGTAGTCGCTGCTCTGGTGACAGCGCAAACGTGCACCTGATCCCATGCCGCCTCAAGTTCTTGCATGCCCCTCCTTGCTCGTTGTTTCTCAATGGCGACTCGTGCCTGTGAAGAGAAACATTTGCGACCTTTCCGAATCAACGCCGAATAAGAGGCAGTAACAGCTCGAACTTCTTGGATTGCACAATACGATTTGTGGTCACCTGTCAAAGCCTCGCAGATTGATCATGTAAACAGTATACTGCGAGCTCTATGTGTAGTGTAGCGTATATCTCGTTCAATAATTACCTATTAAGACAGAAAGAATAAAGGAATGGAAACACAGAAATTCGTTAAGCAGGAGGGTATTGTATCCGTGTCGTAACCATCCCCAAATGCTCCAAATACTCTCAGTACCCTTGCGCCATATAACGCCTCTACTCGAACCGCTCATGAACTGTTGCCGACCAGTTTCTCCAAAGTCTCCTCCCAGGTGTCCTGCTCCTCATCGGGTCGTTGGCCATCGTCGTACACCTTGACCTTGTCGGCGTACTCCTTGATGTTGCTAGCGACATAGTCGGTAATCGTATTGCCCTTGCCCGCCGCGATCCTCAAGATGAGCTCGTTCAGATGTTGCCGCCCGAGAATATCCACATGGTCTGCCGTCTTGGGTCCTCCGCGGGGATTGAATCGCTCGGGTTCGTGCTCCATCTCGACAACCGTCACTTTGACACCGGCTGGGTTGTACCTCTTGAAGTTCCACCCGCGGTTACACATGTATCCCGTGCTGAGAAGATTCACTGTGCCGTCGCCCTCTCCCATGACGACACCATGATCCACCTCTCCCTGCGTGAGGGTTGTGTCGATTGTAATGTTCAGATTCGTGAGAGCCGGAGCGTCTGGTGATCGATAGTAGTAGCCTCGCTCCGTTGCCTTGCCTACGCCGTAGAAGCAGTAAATCTTGAGACTCGGTGCGAGGGGCAGACGTGTCTCCAGGGGGTTGATCCATTTGTTTGGGTCTTTTTCGTTTGCGTCGACCTCGGCTTGAGTGTGTGCTACACCATGGGAATAGGCACCCTTCACATTTCTTGAGTACCATTCCTCTGTCGTGTTGAAGAGGTAGTTCATGGCCGACTCGACCGTCAGATTCCGTTCTGGAGTTGTCCAATTCATGCCGCTGCGGAAATTGAGAAGAGAACCGTAAGAAAGTTCCTGGTCCGGCTTGTCATCAGGTGCCCATGTCGAATTGCCCCAAACAGCGTCTCCTCCAATGGGAAGCATGGAAGAAATGCCAGGCATTGCTCGGAAGAGCTGGGCTCTTTCGTCTTTGCTCAAAAACTTCTCGAGACCGTACACGGCAAATGCGTTGAGTTGGGCTGTGTCTCTCATCTCGCCTGACAAGACAGCTGTCAAGTCCTTGACAGCACCAAGCATGCAACCACTCACGTTGATCCAAGCTTCGACGTGCTGCTCGACCCAATCGTCGCCGCCTCGACCACCACTCTCGGATGCGACCCAATGGAAGAAATAGAAAAGAACTTGCCCTCCCATGCTGTGGGACACGAGAACAGCCTTCTTGCCCGAAAACGCATGCGCAGTTTCAATGTAAGACTTGAGCCTCGAAAAGTACTGATCGCGTGTCTCGAGGTTGGGGTACGCCAAACGCCAGTCGTACGCGGCGGTGAAGGAATTAGTCGGGTCGTAGCCTATCGATGCCAGATTCTCGAAAATCTTGTTCCAGATCCAGTAGCCGGTGATGAAGAAGTCGGTTGCGTCGAAGCCTTGGGCAGCTCGCAGCTTGATATGAGGAGGGTCAAGGCCGGTTTCCTGGTCCAGCATGATATGTTTCTTCCAGTTTTCCTTGTCGAGGACCAGCGCACGCATCATGCTCCAACTGCCCCAGAGGCGTTTTCGGAAATATTGGCGGGAGACATTCGCTGTGCCCCACGACTCGAGGCCTGTTGAGATGACGCCGGGAACCATGATCATGGGGTGATGGGCATGAAGACCCTCGGCGCGAGCCTGCAAACCTACGGAGAAGGCATCGTAGCTATCAACGAATTCTCGCTCGCCTTGCTTCACGGCCAGCCATGTTAGTTTCAGCCAGCTAGATGACGGACGCCCGTCAAAGACGACGCCTGAATTGTTACTGACCACAAGCTCCCGCATGTCCTTGACCAAGCCAGCTGGCAGAACATCGAAAAAGCTGTCCATACTAAGCTCTCCAAGCTCGGGGAAATCTATGAGGTCGTTGCTTTTCGCAAAGAAGCCGGCGGCTATGATTCCAAACAAACTTCCAAGTAAGAAGATGGCGCCATTCCGGCGTTTCCGTGTCTTGGGTTTAACATGGTGAACGACGTGAGCTACAGTCTCGGATTTCTCGGGGCTTTCGTCTCGAGGGGTCGAAGGTTCGCTGTCGACGTTGCCGTCGGGGGGGATGGCTCGACGCCTGAGAGTCGAGGAAGACATGGTCGCGGTCGCAAAGGGCTGCTGCCACCTGAAGATGCTAGTAGAGCGAAGTTAGCTCCTAAAGTTGACGTTTGTAACAGCCGAAGGAGGTCAGGCTATTCGATGGAAGTAAGGGCCAAGCGGTGCATACCTGAGCTTGGGATGAAGTGGAAGCAAGGAACGGTATCAACTGCGCCGTCCTCCTTGGGCGTGGCTTGGTACTTATTGGGAGGCACGTGGGCGAGTGGGCGATGGGACGTTGTGAGCTAAGCGGCGAGCAAGGGGGGGCGACTATGGCAGATCCAAAGCTAGGCAAAGCTTGTTTCGTGATTTGTCGGACAGACAGAGAGGGACGAATGTTGACAGGCAGCCCCGAGGCATGCGGGATTCAGGTGTGCTTGGCCGGGCAACAATAATAGCCAAGGAGTCCGGAGCTCGGGGGGGTGGGATGTTGGAGGCGGCCGAGGGACGAGCAAAAAAAGATGCATGAGCTGCTCGACTTCTCCGTGCGGCCCGACGTGACGTCAATCTCCGAGGGGGGCAGCGTCTTTTTTCAGCATGCTGTCCGCCAGAGAAGGTACTTGAATATTACGCATGTTTCTGTACGACTTCTATGTACCCTGCCTTGTCGCGAGTGCGCGCCGGCAGATGCACAGGCACCTTGCCGTAATGGGAGGCAGGGGGGTCCCACTGGATGAGGGCATCGGTTTCCATCCTTACCTGAGTACTAAGTATCCGTAATGCTTCATGTACTATGTACGTATCTCATGGGTCTGGACATATTTTGCTATTTGACGATGCTTGTCACGCAGAAATGTTCCGAAATCGGTCAAGTTCTCTTCCTCCCTCTCCTGGTCTAGGTAACCGGAAAGAAGTAATGGGACGTGAAGCAGACCCTGACAAGCAACCCAAGGGAATCGACTTGCATGTGATGGACTTTGGATGAACCTCATTGCATGAACGCAAACAAGAATTTCAACTTGGCAGACTTCACCGGGCAATTATCTCGCCTTGAACAAGACAAAAAGTAAATGCTGCCTACTGTGTACCTACCTACCTACCTACCTACCTACCTACCTAGCTAGCTAGCGACCTTGTCATGGCCTTCTCTCAACTCCCTGGAATATCCAAGTTTGACAACCCTCACATACACCATCTAGCTGACGCTGGCAAGCGTGAAGCGCCGCCATCTCTGGCTTCACCCTAAGGTAATGCACCACACCTTACCACGTGCTTACCTCACCTGGTAGATACCTCACCTCTCCGCGAAATCGAGTTCCCAAAATTCAAGTAGGTCGTATTGAGATGAGTTTTCTTGGGTGTCTGCTTAAGCCATTCTAGGTACCCAATGAGATGACTGTCGAGGTAGCACGAGGGCGGCCGTTTGACATGTGACAGTGAAGGAAATTCACGGCGTTTGACTGGAAAGGGAATCTCACTGCCCTGAGCCTTGAGGACAACAGGCCGCCCGTCGGTAGACCCCACTAAATGGCCTTGCCTGCCCGCAAAACTGCCCTGACCTCCGAATCCGACAGGGACGATGGGCGAAGATGGTGGGCCCCCCGGGCGGGGCCTACCTTACCGTACTGCAGTTGGTAGGACACTGAACACCGCACGGTCTGAGCGGAGCTGACTGACCTGCAGCACCGCAGCCAGAACAACTCGACTCAGTTTTAGGTATCGAATGCAGCATCCCCCGACTCCGACTCCGACTACGCCCTTCAATTTGCACCTGCAAACGCACATCTCACGATCCTGGTTTGGGCGTTTTGCACCCGTCCTTGTCTCATAACCACCAGCCGCGGCAGAGCCGCGTCTCTCTATCTTTTGCATTCTCGTCTTCCTCTACAGCAAACCGCGCGTCACATTGCGACACCCGGCTATTTGCTCTCACTTTCTCTCATCGCCTCGCCTCGGATCTCAAGACTTCACTTCTTGCTTCTTCCTTGCGCGCCATACAGATTGTCATGCCTTGAGACCATTCCACGTGCCGGTATAGGCTTGTGCGGAACCTCTCATAACGAATCTCACATCTTTGATTTTACATCATATCTTGCCTACGAAGTCCGGCCTGAAGCAGATATACCCCACGAGACAGCAACATGGACGTTTCCAAGGTCACCCATCTCCCCGCGGATCTGCAGTACATCCAGTACGAGCACGGTCTCGAAGCGAAATACCTTCCAGCTATACGCTCTCTGATCGCAAAGGACTTGAGTGAGCCATACAGCATATATGTCTACCGATATTTTCTATACCAGTGGGGCCACTTGTGCTTCATGGTGCGTTACCTTTCTCTCAACCCCCTTTTGTATGTCATCGCCGTTGCTTACTTCGGCCACAGACCTTGGACCCCGCCGACGGGTCTCTCATTGGTGTCATCATTTGCAAGCTGGAAGTGCACTCGTCTCACTCGCCGCCAACGCGCCGGGGCTACATCGCTATGCTCGCCGTGGCCTCACCATACCGCGGTAAAGGCATTGCAACGGCACTCGTGAAGAGGGCCATAGATGCCATGGCCCAACGAAACGCGGATGAGGTGGTACTGGAAACGGAAGAAACCAACACGCAAGCCATGCGTCTGTACGAGCGTCTTGGGTTCTTGCGTTCCAAGAAACTTCACAGGTATTACCTCAACGGCAATAGCGCCTACAGGCTGGTGCTGCTGCTCAAACCTATCGACCCGGATGCCGCGTTTGATGATTCGGATGGCCAGTCTCCCTGACTAGGGGAGTATGGGGAAGATCTGCTTCTCAAGTCAAAAAGAATGCTTGATAACACGTGCGGCGTTATTTGACAATAACCGCCTTGACCGGTTCATACAAACACGGAAGCATCAGATTAGGGTTACATAAGAGCTGGCAGAACATCACCGTTGACTTAGAACGGGACATTGCGTGGGTTAAAACGTTGGCATCATTAGGGGCATTGGTACCGGACTTGGTGGTTTATTGCGTCGTCGATTCTGATAGATGGTTGAGCGGTGTACAAAGGTACAGAGGCATTTTTGGCAGGGTGCATGGTGCAATCCGTATTCACACATAACGAACGCATGGGCTCGTGGCAGTACTCCACATGTACGGCTTATCAGAAGTACATACCGAATCTCATGTACATCAGAGGAGCAAAGATGAGCTGGAGTCCGTCCTCTCAGCCATGGTGACAATCGGCGATTCTTTCCGCCCCTTTCTTTGGACCGGTCCAGCTGGCTTTCTTTTCTCACTCCCGACAGCATTCAATCGCTGAGATAAGTACTGGGCCTACAGCTGCAAGGCATTGCATCATCAAGTGAACCATATACAACCTCCTCTCGGGAAGTGGAAAACCACAGGGCCGATGACTACCTACTAGGATAGCACATCCCTAGAACTGTAAATCGAGGCCTTCAAACCCCAATGATTGCCGGAAGCAATACCGAGATATGTAAACGCATCTTGGGCGTGTCAGACCGCAATCCTTTTTCCGCGATGGAAGGCTTCTACGAACCTGGCTTATAGTAGATAGGACGCCCCATAGCCTCAACGAGCTTGAGCTCCCTCAGCCGACGCAAGACGCGGGTGACATCTGCCATGTCACTGAAGTCGGCCGTGTAAACGCATACAATCCGGTCTTTTCGACCGGTGGGGTCCGTATACGGATTCCAAGGGGCAACTTTTGCGGCAATGCCTAGTTCGTTATTCGCTGTGGCCCTTGCTATGACGTTCCAGACTTCGTTGACATCCTTGGGCTGACAGAAGAGCATCCACTGTTTGACGAGAATCAGCCGTCATATGCAGTACACTTAGGCCATGTTGAGAGCACTTGCCTTGCCGGCTTTGATCTTACACATGTGCGCGAGGCCCATGATATCTCGGGTGGCATCTTCTTGTTCTTGCCTCAGCAATTTTGCCTGTACTGTCTTGGATTTGTTGGTCTTCTCCAGGCCTTGCTTGTAGTTGAGGAGGATATCTAATCTCTCCGAACCCCCCTCGATAAGAGTATCGAGTCGTGAGCCCTCTTCTCCGGGTGCTTCGTCCTCGTTGCCTCTGCTCCGCTGATTCTGGGCATTGAACCTGTCCTTCCTGCGGATGTACGGATTGCATACGAAAATCCACGGGAGTCGCTCGCTGTGCTCCGTCGTCTCGGGAGGGAGACGATCCAGGAAGTCATTGACGGTCTCCGTCAATTGCCACGCGTAAGGAACACCGGCGTATGGGTTGTGGAGTTTGGTGCTGTCGAGAGGCTCCTTTTTGACGTTTCTGTCCATCACCGAGATGGAGGCCGCCGCCGCATCCCTCTCTTCCCACCACCGAGAAACGTCAAATGACGTAACCCGAGACTCTAGGCCGGCGACAATCTCATCGTCCCCTGAGCGCGATTTAGTTCTTTTTGTCCAATGTCAATTGGGCTCATAAGGACGCAAACCGTAGAAGTCGGACTCATCAGAGTCCATTTTGCCTAACGCAAACTCTCGAAAACTCTAGGACACACAGGGAGCAGTGCTCGGAGGTTATGGAGAAGAATGGAAGTGCCTTGTCTAGCTGTGAAGAAAGTGCGGTGAACGATTCCAGGTTGTTGTTTCGGAGCAGAAAAAGAAAGCACCACCCCAGTAAAGAATAATGACCATGGGCTGTTGTAAAACAAGTACCTTAGTATCGACTGTCTGAAGGCAACGTCATCCTCTCATGTATAGGTGCGGGCGGGGAGTAACGTGTTGATAAAGTTTGAATCTATTGAATTGAAGGAACAAGGGGATGCTACAGATACCCCGTCGTTTTTGGAAAGGATTGCAACTCCCGAACCGATTAGCGGCTGTCAATCCCGGGGTCGGGGGTTGCGGGATCCTCCCGCCTGCGCCGGGGCCGATAACCCTCCCGGAAGTCTTTGGCGAGTGCAGAACCCAAGCACCGCACGTCAAATCTCGAATTCGACTTCCCCCACACGCCTTCCCCGGACTCCAAACTACCCAGACATTCCATTATCAAAAACCCGAGACGAGACAGCATACTCAGTGAGACACCCCGCATCTAGCAGCATCTTCATCAAACACTCCAAAGCTGGGTGATTGGTAGTTTTTCTTTTCGGCCCCAAAAGAGAAGACAGCCCTCACACAATCCACAATGGGTGACTCAGCCCCGACCATTACCTCAAAGCAGTCATTCATACTCGACTTGCCCCCAAGCTGCATAGAGTTCTGCTCAAGCCACCCGTCTTATTTCGTAGTCGGCACCTACAACTTGGTCAAGGAAGAGGAGGCAACGACCGAGTCTTCAGAGAACGCAGATGTTGCTGTTCCCAAGAAACCTCAGAACCGAAACGGTAGCTTGATTGTATATCGGCTCATAGACGGCCTTGTGTAAGTCTGCCGCTTGCGCACAAGGATAATTGTCTTCTTTCCTCTTTGACTCACTCGTTTATAGGCAACATGTGCAAACCCTCTTGCATCCTTCAGCGATTCTTGACCTGCACTTCTGCCCATCGTCAGGGCGGCAGGACATCCTGGCTGTAGTTTCGAGCACGGGAACACTTTCCATCTTCAAGTTGGCCCCGGGCACCGACGACGCAGAGCCGTTGAAGCATTTGGCGACGAGCAGAATCTATGATGTCCCTGAAGGCGTTCTCTTCCTCTCTGGGGTCTGGGACCCGAACCATGCCGCCTCTCTCGCACTGACAACCTCGTCCGGTGAGGTACGTATTGTGAGGCTCGACGATTCCTGGGCGATTGTGGACAAAGACGACTCAGAGGCTGTTATCACGCATTCTCTCGAGGCCTGGACAGTCGCTTTCTCGCCACCCGACCAAGCCACACCATTCATTCTCTATTCCGGAGGAGACGACTCGGCTTTGCGCTACGCATCGTGTTCTCGCAATGATGATGCGGATATCGAGGCTCTATATGCGCCCCTTAACATCCCCGGCCATGGTGCCGGCGTGACGGCTATCCTCCCCATACCACTCACTCTTGCAGACAACTCAAGACTACTAGTCACGGGTAGTTATGACGACACAATAAGATTGTTTTCCGTACAACCGCCGCACGAGACGTACGGCATGCGGAAGGTCAACTGTCACGCAGAGAAGAACCTAGGAGGGGGTGTGTGGAGGCTCAAGTTGATCGACATGAAGAGCAGTGCCGGCCGATGCCGCCTGCGCGTTCTGGCATCATGCATGCATGCTGGTGCCAGAGTTGTCGAACTCGAGGGCCCACTGAGCGGCGAAGACTGGGCCGTGACTGTCCTGGCCCAGTTTGAGGAACACAAGAGTATGAACTACGGCAGCGACTTTGTACCTGCCTCGGGAAGCAAGCGTCTTGAGTGTGTAACGACGAGCTTCTACGACAAGCTCTTGTGCCTATGGGAGGTAGAGCTAGCCTAGGCGAAGGTGGAAGACTGCAAAGCAGGCAGAAGCCACCATTGCAATAAGCAAGTCAATACAATTCCATTGTTTTGATCAGAGCAATGGGCTGGACTAGCAAATGCCATAGGAATATGGACAGCCTGGCTATAATGCCTTGTCTTTCTTCCAACGCCATTTGCCGGCTTTGTGTATGTCTAGGAAAACCAAGGGAATGGTATTTGTGCTTAAGGTCAAGTGCCTTAGACAAGTGCTTGGCCGAGTTGAAGAGAGAACTTGACCAGAATTTCCATGCAAACTTGCAGAGTAAGCCCAATGTGATTTCCGATGAGGTGGTTCCATCGTTGAAGCAACTTGCGCAGTCTGTAAACAGACGTATCAGATACTGCATTACGGCGTCAAGGGGTCCTCATGCATCTTTTCCCGCAATTGGATGACGGCCAATTCTTGGAAACGTGGGGAGAGATATTCAATTGCCAGACGGCGGGGTATGTCCCTGGACAGGCATGCATATACCAAGGCTACGTTAGCTACCCGGAAACATGGCAAGGTACCTTATGAAGATGCCGAAATTAAACAATATAGATTCACGAGAACGCATCTGCCTAGGCGAGGTGATGTGAGTTGAAGTGGGGTGACAGGTTCTCTCCGCATTTCCTATGTTTTCGTCCAACTCACAACACATGGGTACTTGTGACATGGGACTTGAAGATAATCGGGGGCCATCTAGAATTTGGTATTTTACTTGATATTGGAGAGATGGATGATGCAAAATATTGACCGTCCTGTGTGCATCACAACGTGTGGTCTCCTGATTTATTGCCTGCTTTCAAGTCGGTCAGGTAAAGGCCCAAGGCAGGGTAAGACAAGGGTTTCATTGCGTTAGGTAAGTCAGGTACAGATACCTGGGACCTGTGAGGTGAGTCTGAGATGGCCCAGCCCCAGGTACACGGTCAGCCCCCCCCCCCCCCCGGCCCGAACAGCACAGCACCGGGGACAGCGCATCACAGCAGCAGCAGGGCACCCGATAGCAACCACATGGAACCTCGCCCTGCGGAGGGCGGGACCGCTGAGCGCGTCGGACCTGAGGTACCTGGAGCGTGGGCGTGGGTCACCTCACCACCTGCCTGCCTTAACGCCGCGACAATTCCCACCTTTTAGCTTGACTTCCTGTCCGCCTCTGACGATGCAATTCAATATTGCTTCTTGCTGCTGCTGTTGCTAGTCTTCGGCCTCGACCTCTGTCACAGCTGCTACACGGGCACCATTTCCGCAAAGCTCTCAAGATCGACACTCGCTTTTGCATCTGCGTACCTTACCTTATCCAATCCCAGTCTAATCTCTCTGCTTCCTTCACTACTACCCCCCGACAAACTTTCCGCTGCTCAGCTTTGTCTTGCATATCCTTCCCGCACTCGACACCGCATCAAGGTCAGAACAAACGACCTTGATAATTCTTGACCAAGACCTTGTGGCAGGTGCATAGCTTCTGGTACGTCCTTGCATCTCGGCATATACATGCTCTGTATTACACCTTCCCGTGCAGTCTTGTCTTTTTCTCTCTCTTCTTTCTCACTCGATGGCAGCCGTGGCTAACTCTAATCTCGACTTCTTGGGCAGCATTCCTCACCGAGCTTGCACTCCGATCTTTCCTCCTACCTGCCCCTCTCGCCGTCGAGTTCCCTCGAGTCCACCCCCGACGAATGAACCAGCATTAAGTCACCTGCTGGCCAAGCAGCTTCCATAGCTGGACACTTCGCGGTGTATTGCGACCGACAGAACCTATCATGGACGGCCGGACGCCCAATGGCACAGCCGGCATGGCTCAGAACGCTACTTCTACCAACGGCGGAAACACCGACATCATCTCCCAGATCCACCAGGCCCTCGAGGTCATACACAGTCCTTACTCCTCCAACGAGTCCCGCCGAGACGCACAGCTTTTCCTCGAGAACATTAAGGGCATAGACGAGGCCCCCTTCCACGGATTCACCCTCGCATCCAACAAGTCGCAGTCCCCTGTCGTGCGCCACTATGCCCTGTCTCTGCTCGAACACGCAATCAAGCAGAAATGGGCCGAATACAACGAGCAGCAGTCTACCATGCTGCGCGAATGGGTTATGGAGCTTTGCCGCACCTTGTCAAAGGAAGACCCGCTATACATTAGGAACAAGACGGCTCAGCTGTGGGTAGAAGTCGCAAAAAGATGCTGGGGCGCCGAGTGGATGGATATGGACGAGCTCTTGGTACGGATTTGGCAGATACCTGATTCTCCTGTCCACAAAGAGCTCGTTCTTTTCGTGCTTGAGACCCTGTCCGACGAGGTCTTCAATGGCGACGACGCTGTTGTTGCCATGCGCGAAGGCGTCCTCAGCAGAAGCTGCGTCGAAGTCTTTACCCCAGCTTCGGTTCTCAGAGAGGCATTCCCCAACAGAGTTGCAGGCCCCGAAGTGCGCTCTGGGGAAGAAGGTTGGCTAAGCAGGGTATCCGAGTTCCTCAGTCAATGTCTCGACGGTGACGCACCAAACAACGACCAAATCCGCTCTTGCGCCGTGAAGTCCTTGACTGTGTTCTATTCCCTCATGCCATGGGCCATCCCAAAGTCTGTTGCCGTCGCAAATTGCGTCCCAGTCATGTGCAGGGCTCTTGCAACTCCCGAGGTGTCCATCCAAAAGGTACCAAGCAGACCGCCTTGTGCTCGTTCCGCTGATGAAAAGGGGCCAAAAGCTAACATCGACTAGGCCTCGCTCGAAGCTCTGCACGCGCTCTACTCCCGTTCCAATTTCTCAGAACAAGAGTTTAAGGACCTTGTCGCGCCCATGTATGATGCTAGCCAAGTAGACCTCATGAAGAGGCTCTTTGAGTGGTCTGCTGTGGATGTGGAGGACATTGACGAGGACAAATACCAATTCGGCAAAAAGTTTTCAGAGGTGTGTCTTTCATGGTGTAGAAAGTGTGCGAAGTTACTAATTGCTAGTAGATGCTGTCTCTTCTCGGCAACTACCTCGACCGGCGGTTCTCTGCCATATCGACAAACTCGGATGTCAGCGGTTTCCTCAACCTGCTATTACTTACCGTTCAGAGCCAGAGTCTCATCATCGCGATTCCAGTCTTGGCAACCTGGACACGCCTCCTCAACAACAGGCTGATTGGACAGAGCCCAGCCAACAGTCATCTCGTTGGTCCTCTTCTTGAAGTGTGCGGCTCTCGCTTGATACGCTACGAGAACTTGCCCGAAGATACCCAAGACCAGACCTTTATGTTCCTCATGGAGGATACTGATACCGTTCCCGAGCGTCACGCGTTTCTCGGCAACTACCGAAGATACAGCACTCAAGTCATTGAGACCATCGTACAGCTCAAGCTATCAGACGCAGTATACCACGTTCTCGGTCAGGCGGAACACGTTCTGCAACATCTGTATGACGAGAG